GTTGTGTTGTAGTTGTGTTGTGGTTGTGTTGTGGTTGTGTTGTGGTTGTATTGAGGTTGTGTTGTGGTTGTGTTGTGGTTGTGATGTGGTTGTGTTGTGGTTGTGTTGTGGTTGTGTTGAGGTTGTATTGTGGTTGTGTTGTGTTTTTGTTGTGTTTGTGTTGTGGTTGTGTTGTGGTTGCGTTGTTGTTGTGTTGTGTTGTGGTTGTGTTGTGTTGTGGTTGTGTTGTGGTTGTGTTTTGTTTGTGTTGTGGTTGTGTTGTGGTTGTGTTGTGGTTGTGTTGTGTTTTGTTTGTATTGTGGTTGTGTTGTGGTTGCGTTGTGGTTGTGTTGTTGTGTTGTGTTGTGGTTGTGTTGTGGTTGTGTTGTGGTTGTGTTTTGTTTGTGTTTATGTTTGTGTTGTGTTTTTGTTCGTTTTGTTCTGTTCCAAAAATGTACATTTAAAAAGATTTACCGTGGCGGAGCACGGGATGCAGCTAGTAAATTATTATATTCTGCGATAGGTATGCAACAGTCATCTTTGGTGTGTCGCTTTCTTGTCAACCGTGTCGGTCTCTGGTCAAATGTGTCGGTCTTTGATCAACTGTGTTAGTATTTATCAACCGTGTCGGTCTCTGGTCAAGCGTGTCGTATCGATAACTGGTTAAGTGTGTCGGTCTCTGATCAAGTGTCTCAGTCTCTGGTCAAGCGTGTCGATAACTGGTCAAGTGTGTAGGTCTCTGTGTCGGTCCTTGTCAAGTGTGTCGGCCCTGGTCAAGTGTGTAGGTCTCTGTGTCAGTCTCTGGTGAAGTGTGTAGGTCTGTGTTCAGATGTGTCAGTCTATGTCCAGATGTCCGCATGCCTGTCCTATAAAGACAACACAGTTCGGGACACGCGACAACACAAAGGGAGCTACTGGTCATTGACTGCAGGTGGAATGAAATATCTCACGTTATCAGATAGCTGGGTCAAGGTCATTGGTCGATCTGGACCCTGTGTTGTGACTGGTTGGTTGATCAATAGCCAGGTGTCAGTGGGAGTAGTTGGTCATTCTCTGTTGCTGGTTGGTTGATCAATAGCCAGGTGTCAGTGGGAGTAGTTGGTCATTCTCTGTTGCTGGTTGGTTGATCAATAGCCAGGTGTCAGTGGGAGTAGTTGGTCATTCTCTGTTGCTGGTTGGTTGATGAATAGCCAGGTGTCAGTGTGAGTAGTTGGTCATTCTCTGTATGGGGTAGTTGGTCATTCTCTGTATATGGGGTAGTTGGTCATTCTCTGTATGGAGTAGTTGGTCATTCTCTGTATATGGGGCAGTTGGTCATTCTCTGTATGGAGTAGTTGGTCATTCTGTATATGGGATAGTTGGTCATTCTGTATATGGGATAGTTGGTCATTCTCTGTATGGAGTAGTTGTTCATTCTCTGTATGGAGTAGTTGGTCATTCTGTATATGGGATAGTTGGTCATTCTCTGTATAAGGGTAGTTGGTCATTCTCTGTATGGAGTGGTTGGTCATGCTGTATATGGGATAGTTGGTCATTCTCTGTATAAGGGTAGTTGGCCATTCTCTGTATGGAGTAGTTGGTCATTCTGTTTATGGGATAGTCGGGCACTCTCTACATAAGTTAGTTCGCCATTGCCTGACTTTGTCAAATGGATCGTTGTTTAGTCACTCTCTAGTTGTGACGTAGAACTGGTCAAGTGGTCATTTGATCGATTATCTGTACGGCGAGGGGTGGCGACAAATCTCGACAACATCAGGAAGTCACCAACTCTTATTTTGATATGGGGGACTGGCCAGTGTTTTAACGGCGTGTCCCAAACCTAATTAGTGTCCCGAGCACCCCCCCCCCCCCCCACCTGTGCCCCACCTAGCAGGTCTCACCTGTCCAAATATTCACCTGAGCCACACGCCGCCTAATGAGCTGGTGAGCCGTGTGTTGACGTCACGCCAACACGTGTAAACAGTTAACAAATGTTGACCAACCCGCCGCCAACAAAACTTGACCGGCCGCCACTTGAATGGGGAAACAGTTTAAACAGACGTCAAGATTAATCTACTTCAGATCGGTGTCACGTGACCCGATCCGCTTTACAAACATAAACATAAGTCACGTGGTTTCGTACGCTTCCCATTGTTTTAAGTGAGTGATGTCAATTTGCTGCTATTTTTAGTTCAGCTGATCCGCGATACAATATTTTCAAGTGAATATATGTTTAATCATTGGCTTATTCATGAGGAAATGTAAGATACTATACACCCCTCCCTTTGTAGGGTACAAGGGAATGTTGCAAAAGTACTCACTCACACTTACTTCTCAATTATATCGATTATAAAGTGTAATCGATTAGTGCTAGAAATCGATCTAAAATTAGTGATATCGATTTATTCCGTGACGGTGAACAATCGCCCCGCAATGAATGTATTCCCGCGCGTGTATTTCTATGTGTGAATTCGAATAGATTATAATGATACAGCATTTTCGCTTTCGGCCAAAAATAGATCTGCAGCTGGGCCCAAATAAGATCGATACTGGAGACGTGCAGCGAATACTGAAACAGTTCGATACCTGAACACGGGCAGCTAATACTGAAACAGTTCGATACCTGAACACGGGCAGCTAATACTGAAACAGTTCGATACATGAACACGGGCAGCGAATACTGAAACAGTTCGATACCTTAACACGGGCAGCTAATACTGAAACAGTTCGATACCTAAACACGGGCAGCTAATCCTAAAACAGTTCGATACATGAACACGGGCAGCGAATACTGAAACAGTTCGATACCTTAACACGGGCAGCTAATCCTAAAACAGTTCGATACCTTAACACGGGCAGCTAATCCTAAAACAGTTCGATACCTTAACACGGGCAGCTAATCCTAAAACAGTTCGATACCTTAACACGAGCAGCGAATACTGAAACAGTTCGATACCTGAACACGGGCAGCTAATCCTAAAACAGTTCGATACCCCCCCCCCCCCCCCCCCCCCCAAACGAGATGGAATTTATACAGTAAACATACACTTTTACTAGTGTCCCCCCCCCCCCCGCCGAAAATATCAAGTGCCCCCCCCCCCCCCCTCCCGGAGAAAAAAGTCCTGGAAGAAACATTGTTTATAAGAGGTTCCTGTTGTAAGAAAAATGGTAGGATCAGGACATCACGTGATTACATTGACATACAACATATCCGGATGACATGTCCGGACCAACTTTGTCCGGATGACTTATTTATAACATTAATCTATACAGCAGAAATGCCCAGAAATTACAGATACAAAATGTAATAAACCTCACGACGGAATGAGTAAAACTTTTACTTCAAATAAAAGTTTGCTTGTTCCAGGCTTAAGTTGTCGGTAAGATCGTACCGTTCACATTCCTTAGCTAACCTTGGCTAAACTGACATGCTGATCGTTTACCTTCATCCATTACACCCCCTCCTCCAATCTCCCCCGCAGCGCTTTCACATTAAAAACTAGGTCAACCTGACCCCAAATTGGATTAAGCCCCTGTGTCAGTCACGTGACTGTCACCACGTGACTGACATCATGTGACCAGGTTCCGGTGCTGGGAAGAATCTTATCTGACCCGTCTGGCCAGTTACACCGTGCCGTGACGTCATACACCTGTTTCTACCTGGGCTAGACATGAGTTACTTAACTAAAAGAACCAATGTATCGATGGCCAAATGACTTGAGTTACTTAACTACAAGAACCAGTGTATCGATGGCCAAATGACTTGAGTTACTTAACTACAAGAACCAGTGTATCGATGGCCAAATGACATGAGTTACTTAAATGACATGAGCTGATGTGTGGAGTCGATGGTTGCTACCAAAACACCGGCACTACAAAACAATGTTGTCGGGTCGGGTAGATTTAGTAATTGTGTTTATAGTAGGGTTAATGTTTGGTGTGTGGATGGTTAATGTTAAAATGTAAGGGGGGAGTGTAGGGTTAATGTTATAATGTTAGGGGGGAGTGTAGGGTTAATGTTATAATGTAAGGGGGTTAATGTTATAATGTTAGGGGGAAGGTAGGGTTGATGTTATAATGTTAGGGGGAAGGTAGGGTTAATGTTATAATATTAGGGGGAAGGTAGGGTTAATGTTATAATATTAGGGGGAAGGCAGGGTTAATGTAATAATGTAAGGGGGAGTGTAGGGTTAATGTAATAATGTAAGGGGGGAGTGTAGGGTTAATGTTATAATGTAAGGGGGTTCATGTTATAATGTTAGGGGGAAGGCAGGGTTAATGTAAGGGGGGAGTGTAAGGTTAATGTTAGGGGGGGGGTGTAAGGTTAGTCTCGAGGTTGAGAGGTTAGTGACAGTGTTATTATCAGTGCACGGATGTAGGACAAGTAACACTTATCAGTGTTTCTTCCAGACTTTTTCTCCGGGGGGGGGGGGCACTTGAAATTTTTCGGGGGCGGGGGGGGGGGGGGCGGACACTGTTAAAAGTATATATTTTCTATATAAATTATATAAATTTCATTTCGTTCGGGGGGGGGGGGGCCTGGAAGAAACTCTGACACTTATAGAAAAGTACCAGTACTATAACCGCTCTAGCTCTGAAAGAAAGTACCCGAACTAATGACCATAACCGCCGTAGTTCTGACGTCATCGTATGACGTAGTCTACCCCGAACATTGACACGATGACGAATGTTTTCTTCCACTTTTTAACCCCGCCCCTTCCACCCGGTGGCACCACCCAGCGGCACCACCCACCGGACACGACTGCAATCGATTGTGACGAAATTCAACAGTTCGCCAGTCAGCCGTGTGTGTATGTATCTAAATATATCCGCATTCACACCTGCCTACCTACCCCGTCCCCGTGTCTATAGCTAGCTGGGTCGTGTAGGAGTAAGTTGATCCCTTTAAACGTCGCTACACTCTGTATGTAGAACCAGGCCCATACAAGTTGTTGATTTTTGTTTACCTTCAATAACAACAGTGCGCAGCATACTTGATGTGTTGGTTGGCTAAATATTATGTGCGTTGTGTTCTATAAAACTAGATCTGCTATACATATACAATACTTTATGTTTTATTGTATGGTTCGCGATCAAGTTAGGTAATTTTTAAAAAGTGTGTTCTAATCTAGTCCTAGCTTGGATTACATCTCTACTCCAGTTAATCAAACAATGTGGTGAGTTATCGGTCGTGTTGTGAATTATCGGTCGTGTGGTGAGTTATCGGTCTTGTGACGAGTGAGATAACGCTATTTAAAAACACGGCTACACAAGGCCATTGTGAAGATAGCGCCTAATGTTGAACACACGTGTGTTGATTTCAGTAGGTAGGCCACAGGGAAATAAATAATATTAAATGACAAATCTCTCTCTCTCTCTCCGCCCCCCCCCCCCCCCCCCACGGTCCGTCCAAAGACAGAGAAGTGTAAGCCCCACGTCCAGACCAACATTGTGTGCTGTTTTAAAATGTACACACATTCACACACACATGCACTCACACATTTTTTTTTTCAGGCACAAACATGTTCACACACATGCACATTCACTCAAATATTCACCAACACACATACACACAGAAAGCCATATTGCTTTCAATACTACACGTTTCAACGTTACTTCTATCCCAATCACTAGGCCCTACAATCTCTATCGTATTTTATGAATAACTATTCATTTTATTTTTGTTATTGAAATGGACCGTTTACTAAAAGCACACACACACACTGCCTTTTTATGTCTCGATTAAAGTTATTACTTGTCAACTGTCTACCTGTTAAAGTAATTCCATTCACCTGTCAGGTTTCTGAAGGTAAATTGTACACTATATATCGATACTCAATAATCAATCAGCCTTGAGCTTTTCCCTCAAATATTTTAAGGTACCCTTTAGAGCCGGGTGTGACGTCTCAGATTTAGCCGTCTTTTGATTGGTTGTCTGTTGCTTACAAACCTGTGAGAAACAATGGCTTCCTAGCGTCCCATTGGTTCGCATGTCGGATCATGTCCCTTAACTCAAATTTACATTTCATTTTTTGGAACAAATGTCTTTTAAGTACTAAGTGATTCAAATACCACTTTTTAAAACTGTATTAAGATCAATGTTCTAAAAATAAACTAGCACTTATAAATACTTAGATATACTCCCCCTTATTAGCCAGTGGTATCTAATAGTGATTTTAATTTTTACCCTTTTAATTTTCGATTTGTATTCAGACAAACGAAGATCTATGGCCAAAACATTAATTGTTCTCGTTCTTTGTATTGTTTTCCATCTGTAACTGACCAAATACTCACGCTATCAAATAAAAGTTGGATGCCTACTCTGGATCACTTGAGCATCATCTAACCGCGTGATACTCTCACACCCAAACAACCCCGCATAGCCTCGCTACTTTCTGTGTAAATTGTTTTTCCTATAAACAACACATTTATGTTCGTGTAGGCTAGCTTTCTCTCTTATATTCTGTAATCTAATGACGGCAATTCTGAGACCGACTGGGATGCTAGCGTCAGTCGTTGATCTTTCTGTTCGATCTCTGCCACCATAGTAGGTAAATCCGTGAAACATTTAACTGAAGGGTCTAAAGCGGCGGCGTCCTTTACATGGAGTACTGTAGCTCTATTTATTTCCAGATGCATTATAATATACCAAATAGATCTAGATCTAGTAACTAGACTAAATTTATAAAAGTTAATTTCTAAAAAGCCACATTGGAACTAGAGTTTCTTTCAAGTATCTCTAGAGGAAAGGACACAATGCACTCCGTACCCCTGAACGAAGAATAAAAACAAATCTATAATAAATATTGAAAATATAAACTTCATCCAGCGTTGTCGTCCCTGAAAGTTTCAGTTGCTCTTCCCCCCCCCCCCCCCCCCCCCCCCGCGCCTGCTTCACATTTCTGTCACATTATTTCTCTTACCCTCGGTAAGGACCGACCTCTTATCTAGCACAAGTCTAAAAGCCGGTAGTTAAGACCTTGGTTTACTGGTTAGGTGCAATAGTAAGAGCACCCGGCACAATTTCCTTTAAAATGTCACACAGCACAATTTATAGTGTGGACTCGGATTGTGTTTTTTTTTTAACTGATTTCAAATTCATTGTCAATACTTAACAATTCGTATAGCAAGACCTTGATATAAATGGTATAAACTATTGTATAGTCAGACTTTGATATAAATGGTATAAACTATTGTATAGTTAGACTTTGATATAAATGGTATAAACTATTGTATAACAAGACCTTGATATAAATGGTATGCAATATTTCAGCTGGCCCTGATGGACATGCTGGTGCACCCTACCTAACAGCTGTTGATGACCGCAGTGTGCCCAGATGGCAGAGGGACCAGCACGGCTGTCGGCCTATGAAAGATTTGGAAGCGCTCTCATACCACAGAAGTTACGAAAGGTCATTTGAAACTCACTTTTTTTCAACTTTAGTTAATCTCATACCACAGAAGTTACGAAAGGTCATTAGCATTTGAAACTCAACTTTTTTCAACTTTAGTTAATCTCATACCACAGAAGTTACGAAAGGTCATTAGCATTTGAAACTCAACTTTTTTCAACTTTAGTTAATCAGAAAAAAAAAAGAAAATCAATGTTAACCTCTCCTCTCTGAAATCTACAATATAATTTCGTTTTACTTGGAGTGGTAAAACGGGAGGGAGGGGGGGGTTGCATCTCAAATTCTAAATTTGATTTCATAACTAATGGGCTTCTTACTCGAATGGAGATCTTGAAAAAAATAGACATGAGCAAAAATTTTGCTGATTGGTTTATTTCTCTGACTTGTTTATTTCCCCTGCCTGTTTGTTTTTTTAAATTTGTATACTCTAAATGTTTCAAATGAATTTTTTGTTATCCAATATTTTATGGTCCAACTTTTAGACCGGGTTAACACCTGTTAATCTGATCACTGGATCCATTAGTTGGTTTCAGATAATTAAAGCATTTTTAATTAGCATAACTAGGGGATCCCAAAACCTATCAAGTGACACCAACAGTATCTTCCATCTTGATCTGATGGCAGCCATGTCTGTTTTGTTTCACAGTCAGACACAAGTTCACTTTTTTAGTTCATGTTTTTTTACGTCTTTTTTAGCTCTTTAATGCTGCTTTATTTACCAACCTGATATTTTGAAATAAAATTTCAAGCCATGTGATGTTTTGTAATTTAGATCACTTTAAACCATTGTGTTACCTCATGTGATGTATTGTAATTTAGATCACTCTGACCGTTGTGTGACTTTGCTTATTTTCCAGCGATTGTTTTCAAGACACAGACAAAATGAAGACCGTGTTGTTTACGTTGACAACCGTGCCCTGCCCGGTGATGGCATTACAGAGGAAATTAAATACCCCAGCAACACAGTGGTTTCATCTAAAGTAGGTGGTTTTATCTACTATTTGTGGTTTCACCTAAAGTAGTTGGTTTTAGCTACTATCTGTGGTTTCACCTAAAGTAGGTGGTTTTATCTACTGTCAGAGGTTTCATCTATAGTCGAAGGTTTTGTCTTTTATCTACTAGCTGTGGTTTCATCTAAAGTAGGTGGTTTCATGTACTAGCAGTTGTTTCATCTAAAGTAGGTGATTTTATCTACTGTAGTGGATTCATCTAATATATGCCAACATTCTGACCCAAGATGTTATCTCAACTAGATTTGGCTAAAGGTCATGTTGTTAAACAAAAAGTTATTTTGGCTAAAACATTACTGCACTAATAATTTTTTTTTAAATTCTTTTATTTATCATATAAGTACTCTTATTTCACCTACCTTTTTATTTCATTTTATTTCAGTACACCATCATCACATTTCTGCCGAAGAATTTGTTTGAACAGTTGCGAAGAGTTGCCAACTTTTATTTTCTCTGTGTGGCTGTCATCCAGGTAAAACTGATCTATTATAAATATTCACTCACACACCCCAGTCACTCACACACCCCAGTCACTCACACACCCCAGTCACTCACCCTTATCACAATCATTCACACATCCTAGTCTTAAATACACACTCCCATCATTCACACACCCCAGTCACTCACACACCCCAGTCACTCACACACCCCAGTCACTCACACACCCCAGTCACTCACACACCCCAGTCACTCACACACCCCAGTCACTCACACACCCCAGTCACTCACACACCCCAGTCACTCACTCTTATCCCAATCATTCATACACATTTCAATCACTCACACACCCCAGTCACTCATACATCCCAGTCACTCATACATCCCAATCACTCGCACATCCCAATCTTACATACACACCCCAAACATGCACATTTTCCAATCATTCTCACATCCCAATCATTCACACATCCCAATCACTCACACATCCTAATCACTCACACATCCAAACCACTCATGCACTTCAAACATTCACACAACATCCCAAACATTCACATATTCCAATCATTCACACATCCCAATCATTCGCACATCCGAATCACTCACACTTCCCAATCATCATAAACATCCCAATCACTCAACTCCAGATAGTGTGTCAGCCACCTTGCTTGTTAGTGTACTTATACAACTCATCCATTGTAAGTTGCTCTAGTTCAATCTTCAATTTTTATCATGTTGTTTTTAATGGGGGAAAACACTTCTTATTCTGACAGATCATTTCTTAGCTTTGGCCTTTTTACAATAGACATTCATCTGAAATATTAATGTAGATAAAATGCAAAAATTTGTGCAATTTGTTTTTAAAAAGATTATATCTTACTTATGCTTTTAAAATCTTCCATTACAAAAGTATGCATAAATTAATAATAAATCAGAAATAACTATAATCCTTAACTCAACATACTTTCAAATTCTATCTTGAAATAGCCGTATTTAATGCATCAGCTTACACCCAGATGTACTGTATTACACATCTAGTACACCTGCATGCTATTTCTTACCTAAATATTTAAATACATTGTAAACATCTGTAATTTATTTCTCACCTACATATTGAAACAAATTGTAAACACCTGTAATTTATTTCTTACCTAAATATTTAAATACATTTTAAACACCTGTAATTTATTTCTCACCTACATATTGAAACAAATTGTAAACACCTGTAATTTATTTCTCATCTAAATATTGAAACAAATTGTAAACACCTGTTATTTATTTCTTACCTGTAGTTTGTTATCGACACCCCAGTCACTCCACTGACCAGCATCCTACCTCTGGTGTTTGTCCTCGCTGTCACTGCCATCAAACAGGTAAGTCATAACTTTTAACAGGTAAATCATAACTTTAACAGGTATACCATCACTTTAACAGGTAAGTCATAACTTTAACAGGTAAACCATCACTTTAACAGGTAAGTCATAACTTGAACAGGTAAACCATCCCATTGTCCGGCTAGTTGTTAGATCATGAATTATTCATTAAATTCTCTTTATCAGTCATTTTTAGACTGATGCTCATGAGAACAAAAGAACACAATCAAATCTGGTTTAATAAGTTGAGGTCGTAGACATGACTTAGGTTTTAGTCACGACAGATTGTAGTCAGGCTTAGGTTTGAGATTTGGGTTTAGACATGACTTATGGTTTAAACATGGTGTCTGTTTATCGCTAGGGTTATGATTTGGGTTTAGACATGACTTATGGTGTAAACATGGTGTCTGTTTATGTCTAGGGTTATGATTTGGGTTTAGACATGACTTTAAACATCATGTCTGTTTATGTCTAGGGTTATGAGGACTGGTTGCGTCACAGAGCGGATAATGAGGTCAACCTGCGTCCAGCATCCATCATACGCAGCGGCAAGCAGCAGCCAGATGTTAGAGCAATGGACATCAAGGTATAGGTGGGGCAGAAACTAAAATTGTGGGGGGGGCGGGGGGGGGGGGGGTTAGAGCAATGGACATCAAGGTATGGGTGGGGCAGAAACTAAAATTGTGGGGGGGGGGGGGGGGGGTTAGAGCAATGGACATCAAGGTATGGGTGGGGCAGAAACTAAAATTGTGGGGGGGGGGGGGGGGGGTTAGAGCTATGGACATCAAGGTATGGGTGGGGCAGAAACTAAAATTGGGGGGGGGGGGTGTTAGAGCTATGGACATCAAGGTATGGGGGGGTGGGGTTAAGGCTTTAGAGTTGGAAAATAAAAATAAAATTTCGGGTTTAAATGAGTATATTTAGGTAAATAGTTTAGGGGTAGATTGTGTTAAGTTAAGAAAGTAAAAATGCCCTAACTGACCTTGTAACCTGTCAACCCCGCAGGTTGGCGACATCGTGAAGGTGAGCATGAATGAAGAGTTCCCGTGTGACCTGGTTCTGCTGTCTTCCCATGACCCCCAGGGTCAATGTTTTGTGACAACCGCCAACCTGGATGGAGAGACCAACCTGAAGGTAGGCGTGGCCATTCACTTACCTGCAGTACAGGTGGGGAGGAGAAACTCACCTGTCATTTATTATCTCAGCTGACAGGTGACAGACACAACACACAAAAAACAACACTGAAAGTTGTTGTGTTAGGTTCAACCAGTGGGTCATCAGCATTGTTGTTTTTTCACCAAGGGAAATAACTTGTGATAGAAACTCAGAAATTACATTTCTTGTCCTTGTTTCTTTACTCTTCTATTCTGTTAGCTTTACTTTTATTGTAGATGTTTTTGTTTTCTTTTTAAATGGCAAAGGTTACCCAGAAATAGTTGAACTCTGTTGATCTAAGAATGTTCGTGTTATTATGTTGATAAACGATATGATGTTGTTTATTGATGTTTTGATTCTGATTATTAAAGATGTGATGTTGATTATTTACGTTTAACATGTTGCTTGTACAGATACTGTTTTCTTGATGATGTGATGTTTATTGTTGATGCTGCAATGTTGATTATTGACAATGTGATATTTATTATGTTGATTATTGATGTTGTGATGTTGATTATTGATGATGTGATGTTGATCAGTGTTGATTATTGACAATTTAATGTTTATTATGTTGATTATGGATGTTGTGATGTTGATTATTGTTGATGTGATGTTGATTATGTTCATTATTGAGGTTGTGATGTTGATTATTGAGGTTGTGATGTTGATTATTGATGATGTGATGTTGATCAACAGACACTGTACTGTTTGAATGAGACCCGGGGCTATGCCACACCTGAAGAACTCTTCAACCTGCGAGCCAAGATCAAATGTAAGGCGCCAATAGCAGATCTCTACACGTTTGAAGGGGTCATGGACTTTGGATCTGAGGCTGAAGCCAAGCCCTTGAACCCAGAGAATCTGCTGCTGCGTGGGGCCAGGTTGAAGAATACAGAATACATTTATGGTTTGTGCTATATTTCTGGTATCTACCCTAGCCTAATGTAGATAATCTGCTTCATAGAGCCACCTTAAAGAGATCAAAATACATTTGGGCTTTATCCCTTCCAACACTAAAAATTAAGAGCAAAGAAGAAGAAGATTTGGGCTTAGTGTTATCAATTTGATTAAAATAAGGCGTTTGAAAATCTTTCTATAGTTGTTTAAAGCATAAAACAATTGCGAGACCAAACAAAATTGTTGTAATCAATGAGAGAAAACAATGTGTTATTTTAATTTTCAGGCTGCGCTGTATACACTGGCCGTGACACTAAAATGGCCCTGAATTCCAAGTTCAAAAAGGCCAAGTTCTCTCGTGTTGAAAGGTGAGGTGAAAAAAATTTCTTATACTAGGTGAAGTAGAGTTGATCTGTTACCATATTCAAAGCATATCTGTGTGGCTACTTAATGCCCAGCCACACCACTTAGCTGCCCATAGAAGATCAACACTATGGGTGTGTTTGGATAAAGAGAATTCTGTATGTGAAGATGAGCCACATGTTCTGTTTTCCCCCCAGGAAAATGAACGCCTTTCTCCTGGTGTTCCTTGTGATCTTGCTGGTGGAGTCTGTGGTGTCTGCTGGTCTCAAGTTTTGGTTTGAAGATGTCCATGTCTACCCCTGGTATGTTGATAAGGAGCAGGTCAGCAATAAGGTACATCACATTTTGTCATACGACATTTTGTTTTACATCACATTTTGTTCTACACCACATTTTGTTTAACATTTTGTTTTACACTACATTTTGTTTTACACCCCATTTTGTTCTACACCACATTTTGTTTTACATTTTGTTTTACACTACATTTTGTTTTACACCACATTTTGTTCTACACCACATTTTGTTCTACACCACATTTTGTTTTACACTACATTTTGTTTTACACCCCATTTTGTTCTACACCACATTTTGTTTTACATTTTGTTTTACACTACATTTTGTTTTACACTACATTTTGTTTTACACTACATTTTGTTTTACACTACATTTTGTTTTACACCACATTTTGTTCTACACCACATTTTGTTTTATACCACATTTTGTTCTACACCACATTTTGTTCTACACCACATTTTGTTTTACACTACATTTTGTTTTACACCATATTTTGTTCTACACCACATTTTGTTATACATTTTGTTTTACACTCCATTTTGTTCCTCATCACATTTTGTTCTACATTTCATAATGTTTTTACATTTGCTCAAGTTGATGGGTCAGTAATAGGTATGAATGTTTTGGTTTGTCACCTTTGATGTGTCTATTTGGAATAGCCCTGTTATTTTCTCTTCCTCTTGAACCAGGCAAAGGACGCTGTAGAGACAGCCTTGGCCTTCATGGTCTTGTACAACTATGTCATCCCCATCTCTCTCTATGTGACTGTAGGTAAGTGACATTTGGATATGACATTTACATGTCATTCCCATCTCTCTGTATGTGACTGTAGGTAAGTGACATTTGGATATGACATTTACGTGTCATCCCCATCTGTGTGTGACTGTAGGTTGACATTTGGATATGACATTTACATGTCATTCCCATCTCTCTGTATGTGACTGTGGGTAAGTGACATTTTGGATATGACATTTACATGTCATCCCCATCTCTATGTATGTGACTGTGGGTAAGTGACATTTTGAATATGACATTTACATGTCATCCCCATCTCTATGTATGTGACTGTAAGTGACATTTTGGAAAAATCATATGGCATATTAAAGGCAGTGGCATAGTGCTGACCACACTATCCCTTCATCAGCCAGGGTCGCAGAAACAGGTGAAATCTAGTTCATCCGCCCTATGGATTGCTAGATTCACAAGGGTAACTTACCATGATACTTTCCCTACTAGATCTGATTATTGATGAATTGAACGTTTAAATAGTGGTAGTGTTTAAAACTGCTTTTGAGGAAATCGAAATCTACTATCATGCCAATTTATTTTTTATTTTTAGAATTGCAGAAATTTTTAGGGTCGTTGTTTTTTGGTTGGGATGTGTTGATGTATGATCCAACAATTGATGAGCCAGCCAAAGCTATCACATCAGATCTTAACGAAGAACTGGGACAGGTGATAATATATTAATTAAGTAATTTCACCATTACATGGTGCAGTACATTGTTGCACAAGAGCAAAGGACTCTCAGATTTTAATCAGCCTCTTGTTTCTTGCTAGGTGGAGTTCCTATTTACCGACAAGACAGGAACTTTGACAGAAAACACAATGGCATTTAGGCAATGCTGTATTGGAAAACGTCAGTTTGAGGAAATCAATGGACGGCTGTATGAGAGGAAGGAGGAGCAGACAGATTTGAAAAATGAGGTCCAGTTTTCTGTAAGTTTTTTCAGTTAACAGGCAACATAACAATTAGACTTGAAATGATGCATAACTTGTAATTATTACATATTCTCACTGTCATATTACTATCAATTATTTAATTTTTTTGTGTGAAATTTTAGGTAGTAGTTGAAATGGATAGTCTATAATATCCTTCTATATTACGCAAGTGCTAAAAGTCTTTATTTTTTCATTTTTATTTTGGTAACTAAGCATAAATATTTCTGCTATTATTCTTTGCCTTTACTTTTATTGTTGTAAGAATAACCTACGGAAGCAATAGTGTCGATGTAATATTTATTTATTAGAAATTGTTGCCAATATTTTCATATTTTACTGAGGTAATAGTGCTGATGTAACATGTATTTACTAGATATTCTTGCCAATGTTTTCATATTTTACTGAGACAATAGTGCTGATGTAACATGTATTTACTAGATATTCTTGCCAATGTTTTCATATTTTACTGAGACAATAGTACTGATGTAACATGTATTTACTAGATATTCTTGCCAATGTTTTCATATTTTACTGAGACAATAGTGCTGATGTAACATGTATTTACTAGATATTGTTGCCAATGTTTTCATATTTTACTGAGGCAATAGTGCTGATGTAACATGTATTTACTAGATATTCTTGCCAATGTTTTCATATTTATTTGACCAGCCGGACATGGACACATTTTTTAAAGTCTTGGCCCTGTGCCACACGGTGAGGATTGACCGGCACCACACCGCTGCAGGCACGTCCAGTTCTTACAGTCCAACTGGGGCTGAGTATGTGTACCAGGCCAGCTCACCTGATGAGAAGGCTTTGGTGGAAGCCTGCGCAAGGTGGGGATGAGTTTATTTAGTTAACCCTTTACAGTCCAGTTTTGTTGGGATCAGTTTAGTTGGTAGTGTAACCCCTTACACCCCAATGTAGTGGGGATCAGTTTAGTTAGTAGTTAACCCCTTACACCCCAATGTAGTGGGGATCAGTTTAGTTGACAGTTAACCCCTTACACCCCATGTGTTTGTAGATCAGTTAACCCATTTTCCTCTGATTCACAGCCATTGTCTTTCAGAATTAGGAAACATTAATTGTTCACACTACAGTTTCCTAAGCTTCTGTCCCTATTTGAAAGATTTTTTTAACTTAACTTAGTTTTTTTAAACAAGAATATCACTTTTTAAAATGATTAGTATTGATTTATTAAATTTTAAAACTACATTTTTATAACCTAATCAATAATGCCTTCATATAACCTAGCACTGCCTTTTATATATAGCCTAGTAGCCTAGTATTACCTTAATAGAACTTATATATATATATAGCCTATATATACATACATTTAATACAAACATACATACAACCAATAGATTTGGAGTTGTCTACCATGGCATGAAAGATGACATGATGGAGGTCACATTCCACAAGAAAATGAAACATTTCAAACTCTTGCATACCTTGCCCTTTGACCCTACCAGGAAAAGGATGAGTGTGATAATTGAAGATGATAATGGTAAGAAAATAGATCACTATGACAATTAAAGATAATAGTGTTATGAATCAGGATCATAATAGATGATCATAAAGGCAATACAAATGTTTAGTATCTGAAAATGGCCACAGTATAAGGATCTATGTATAGCTCCAGTCAGCAATTCGCTGCTAGTGCATGGTGCTGATTGATGTGTATGGAGAAAAAAGTGAAAAATGAAAAGTATTTTTAAAAAGTGTTAAATATTTTTTAAATAAATATTTTGATAGGTAACACATTAGATTTTTTTTTTAATTTTACCTGAGTTATTAGCAGTTTAAATAACTAAGGTTTAAAACTGAAAAAATATTTTACATTAGTAATTTTTTTATTTAGCAAAATCTCCACTATTCTCGTTAAAATCATTCTTTTCTCCAAGACCAATGTTTACCAAGGTCTGAATGAAACTTTTTTTTTAACCAGGGGAGATCATTCTCATGTGTAAAGGAGCAGACATGGCTATCATTGATAGAGCTGTGTATGGTGATATACCTGAAACCCAGAAATACATTGATGAATATGCTGTGGTAAACATTTTTTAATATATATATCTCATGTATTTCATAAATAAAATTATTTTATAACCTTACAGAAACTTTATATAGAGCATATATTTTAAAAAATATATTTTATGATTATAATTAAAAATAATTTTTGTGGAATAACTTTTTAAAACAAGATGAAGTAATTTTTGTTATTATTTAGGATGAGATTTTTACATTATAAAATTATGTTAAAAAATTTCATGACTAATTTTTAATGATAAGAAGTATTTTTTCATTGGATGAAATGCTCTGCCCAATAAACTGTAGTTTTTTTAGAAAAGTGAAAAACCCTAAAGAAATAATTGTGTTGTTTACAGCTTGGTTTGAGAACCCTGAGCATCGCAGTGAGAAAGCTGAGCCAACAGGATTACAAGCATTATGACCAGCTCTTGTGTGAGGCCAAAAGGTCACTGGTCAAACGAACTGAAATGGTAAAGTGTTAGAATTCTTTCAATATTGTTGATCTTAAGAAGCACTGATTGCCGATTGTTTTAAAAGACTGTGGTTAAATGGTAGAGCATTCAACTGCTAAACCAAAAGTCTGGAGTTTGGATCCTGGGCGTGAGTCCATATGCCGTCCCTGAGTCTACCCAGCTCTGATGGGTACCTGACTCACGTTAGGGAAAGTAAAGGCAGTTGGGCATAGTGCTGACCACACCATCTCTTTCTATGCTCAGGTCAGTGAAACAGGTGAACATTACCTGCTTCATGGACAGTAAGGCTCAACATGGTATTATACTTTTGCCTTTTGTGTAGCTCTGTATTAGACAGCTAGCCACACTAATGTAATGTGGATGTTTGACCAGCTGTCACAGCTTTACAAATAATGTGAATGTTTGACCAGCTGTACCAATAAAGTGAATGTTTGACCAGAGTTGTATCAATAATGTGAATGTTTGACCAGCTGTACCAATAAAGTGAATGTTTGACCAGAGTTGTATCAATAATGTGAATGTTTGACCAGAGATGTACCAATAATGTGATTGTTTGACCAGAGTTGTACCAATAATGTGAATGTTTGACCAGAGTTGTACCAATAATGTGAATGTTTGACCAGAGTTGTACCAATAATGTGAATGTTTGACCAGAGTTGTACCAATAATGTGAATGTTTGACCAGAGTTGTACCAATAATGTGAATGTTTGACCAGAGTTGTACCAATAATGTGAATGTTTGACCAGAGTTGTACCAATAATGTGAGTGTTTGACCAGAGTTGTACCAATAATGTGAATGTTTGACCAGCTGTTACAGCTGTATCAATATTGTGAATGTTGGACCAGAGATGTACCAATAATGTGAATGTTTGACCAGAGTTGTACAAATAATGTGAATGTTTGACCAGAGTTGTACCAATAATGTGAATGTTTGACCAGAGTTGTACAAATAATGTGAATGTTTGACCAGCTGTACCAATAATGTGAATGTTTGACCAGAGTTGTACAAATAATGTGAATGTTTGACCAGCTGTACCAATAATGTGAATGTTTGACCAGAGCTGTACCAATAATGTGAATGTTTGACTAGAACTGTACCAATAATGTGATTGTTTCACCAGCTCTCAGAACTGTACAATGAGATGGAAGACAAGCTGACATTACTGGGTGCCACAGCTGTTGAAGACAAACTCCAGGCTGATGTTCCACAGACCATTGAGGCATTGAGGCTGGCTGGCATCAAGGTGAGCGATAGGCAGTGTTCAACTCTCATAGGCAGTGTTAAATCTCCAGTTGTAGATTGTGAATATCATTAAACCCCAAAGCTAAAGCTGTTGTGGATGTCATTAATCCCCAAATGTCACAGCTGAAGTTTTTGTGAATGTAATTAATCCCCAAATGTCACCGCTAAAGTTTTTGTGAATGTCATTAAGCCCCAGATGTCATCACTAAAGTTTTTGTGAATGTCATTAAACCCCAAATGTCATGCCTCCCTCAGGTGTGGGTGCTGACTGGTGATAAAGAGGAAACAGCCGTCAACATCAGCCACTCTGCTGGTCACTTCAACACGTCCATGACAGAGCTCAGGCTGACCCAGGTGGCATCAGAGGAGCAGTACGAGGCGCAGATCACGATATTGCTGAACAAGTAGGTTGAGGGTGGAGGCTTAGGTACTCACAACAGGTTGAGGGTGGAAGGCTAGGTACTCACAAAAGGTTGAGGGTGTTAGGGTCAGGTACACTGGTAGGTTGAGGGTGTTAGGGTCAGGTACACTGGTAGGTTGAGGGTGGAAGACTAAGGTACTCACAAAAGGTTGAAGATGGAAGGCTAGGTACTCACAAAATGTTGAGAGTGTTAGGGTCAGGTACACTGGTAATGTAAGCCCTGCTAGGGGGGGGGGGGGATAACTACTATCTACCTTCCTAGGATTATCTAATAAACTGTCTGGTCAGTGCGACCATGGTAAAACCCACAGTGGTTAACCCTAACCTTAGTCTACGCTAAAAATAAAACAAAAAACTTTGACAATTTAATAAAAAAATCAGATTACAAACCAAACACGACAGAAATACGACACAGAAACACTTCAACATGCAGGCCTCGACATTCCCACAGAATGTCCCTCCCTTTCCACACACCACATTCACAAACTAAAAAAAAAACAATACTACGCCCAAGAAATAAGTCCCTAATACAACAATGACACATTCACGACATAAAACAAAGTGGAACCACACGCCAAAACAAAGTTTGCATAAATAATATCAAAATATAAACAAGACAAAGCAACTATAAACCATTTTAAAATCATAATCATATTAGCGCCATAATAGCGGATTACTTAACTAAAAACCACAACATTCCTCACCAGGAACACAAAAAGTGACATTCACCTTTTTGTAATAAAATAATAATTAAATAATTCCCCATCACCTTACAGGGTGTAAGCACACTCATATTTATACATTTTGTGTCTCTCCAGCACCACCTTGTCTGAGCCTGATGTGGAGTACGCTCTGATCATTGATGGGAAAAGTTTGGTGTTTGCCTTCCAGAAAAATGTTGACTGGTTGCGGGAGTTGTGTCTCAAGTGTGTTGCTGTGTTATGCTGTAGGATGTCGCCCCTACAGAAGGCACAGGTGTGTAGTACACACATAACTTTTCTCTCATGAAATCTGTGTCTGACACACATCAACTTCTGACTGTCTTGTGAAATTTGTGACTGACATAGTCATTGGCCTAATTTTTCATATTTCAATGCATCTAATTGTACTAGTTTATGACTAATGGCTTTGTTTTGTACAGTATAGTTTACTTTCTCATATTTTATTGGCAGAAAGTCAAGATAATTAGAAAACATGTTTTCTTACATAGTTCAGATGATGAAAAATATTTTGTTTACAGATAGTTCTATTGATAAAAATATTTTGTTGACAGATAGTTCAGATGATAAAAATATTTTGTTGACAGATAGTTCAGATGATAAAAATATTTTGTTGACAGATTATTCTAATGAAAATATTTTGTTGACAGATGATAAAAATATTTTGTTAACAGGTAGTTCAGATGATAAAAATATTTTGTTGACAGATTATTCTAATGATGAAAATATTTTGTTGACAGATGATAAAAATATTTTGTTGACAGATAGTTCAGATGATAAAAATATTTTGTTGACAGATAGTTCAGATGATAAAAATATTTTGTTGACAGATAGTTCAGATGATAAAAATATTTTGTTGACAGATAGTTCAGATGATAAAAAAATGTAAATCCAGGCCTGTGACGGCAGCTATAGGGGATGGGGCCAACGACGTCAGCATGATACAGGAGGCTGATGTTGGTTTTGGTAAGATTTAAAATACTAGCCTTAATGTTCGGTGCTTCAGTGTTTAGTAATGTTCACTGCTACAATGTTTAGTAATGTTTATAGCTAATTTATAGCTTGTGTATTGTGAGATGTATTGGTAGTAACTCAGTTCAATTATTAGATAAACAAAAAGCTATTAGATGTTTTTACACCCACCAAGTGATATTGGGAGATACATTGTTCAACCTCTAAACAGGATGATTATTAATTTTATTATATATAGATCCTAATCTATTTAATTTCATAAAATTATACTTTTTGTCTACTAGGAATTATGGGTAAAGAAGGGAGGCAAGCGGTGCGTAACAGTGATTACGCTTTTGGTAAATTTAAATTTCTTCGTCGTGCATTACTATTCCATGGTCATCTCTACTACCACAGAATAGCAACACTCGTGCAATATTTTTTCTATAAGGTGAGTTTCTTTTGTTTCATGACTTTATCAATCATTGGTAATTAAGTTTATAATGAATTAGTTGGACAGTTGTTGCAGTTCTTTAATCAATCAGTGGTAATTAACTTAATAATGACCAGGAACGACCGATGTAGTAGATCACCTGCATGTGTAGCCGCTGTGTTAAAGGAATGTGGCCATTGAATGTCCAGCACTGACCACTTTTCTGCCATTTCAATTATTGGCTTATAGACATACACTGCGTATTCTTGTCAGTGAACTAGGCCATATGAAAATTTTGCTGGGTCCACGAAACTAACTAGAATGGCTAACAGCACAGGCACACAGCTCCATAAATGTTGCGGCTATAAAAGTTTAGTTATCTTGTAGACAAAATTGAACCTTTAACTAGAAGATTTTTCTGCAGTGTTACCATTTTTTAGTTACCTACATGTGCAATGGCATACACTATACTTAACATCTAAAATTAAAACAACTATACATAGTTATTACCATATTAAAATTAACAGTTCAATTAAAATTAAAACTTCTATATATAGTGATTAACACATCAAAAATTAATATTTGAATTAAAATTAAAACTGTATAGTGATTAACAGATTAAAAAATTAATATTTGAATATTTTTGTCCCCAGAATGTGGCTTGGATCACAGGCCAATTGTTTTATGCTATTTTTAATGCCTGGTCCGAGCAGGTAAGAATGATTTTGACAGCCCTAGAAAAACTGACACTATAGAAAATGAACTACTAAACATCAACTCTATGAGAATTGATGTTTTAAATCTGACCCTATGAAAACAGACCCTATAAAAACTGACTTTATAAAATTAGACCCTATGAAAATTACCTTATCAAAATTGATGTTATTGAAACTGACCCTATAAAACTTGGCCGTATGCCAATCGACCTTTTAAAATTACACCCTATGAAAATTTATCTTTTAAGTATGAAAAGAATGAGCCACCCCTTATCCTCTGCTGGTTTGTTTGTTCCAGACGTTGTATGATCCCTTCTACCTGGTGTTTTACAACCTGTGCTTCACCTCCCTGCCCATCCTCATTTTTGGCATCTTTGAGCAGCACAAGGCACAGGATGAGCTGCTCAACCGCCCTGCGCTCTACAGGTCTGTGTAACTTTGTCTGTGGCTCTACTTCACCTGCTCAACCACACACACACACACACACACACTATACAGGTCTGTGTAACTTTCTCTGTGGCTCTACTTCACCTGCTCTACCACACACACACTACACAGGTCTGTGTAACTTTCTCTGTGGCTCTATTTAACAAACTTCTCTTACAAACTTAATTGGAAGTGTAATAGACATATTTCTTGTCGGGTGTGTGTGAGACACGTATGATACGTACAGAGACTTGAGTTATTAAATGTTATGTCACAGACATAGTGTAATAGACATAAAGTCCTAGGCATCTGAAAAGAATAATATGACCTCCATGTAAACAGGGAATGTAAGGGCACTGGTAGCAGTACAAAATTACCTTCAAACAACCAAGGAAATAGTTGTATTTGTAAATTTTGAGTCAAGTAGTAAAGCTCGCAGTTTCTAACCAAATCAAGTTCCAAGTTTGGTTCATAACTTACATATGTTGAACACCCCTGGGTGTGACTAGCTTTAATTAGAATTTGACTTAGGTCAGGGATATTTAAGGTGCCACATAGGTTTTTAAGGCTGAATAGGTTACCATATTTGTACATTAAAGTATTTAAAATAAAACAAAGAATTTTTCTCATGAAAAGTGAACAGTTTTCTCATGAAAAGTAAACATTGAGTTTTCTCATAAAAAGTAAACAGTTTTCTCATAAAAAATTAACACTGAGTTTTCTCATGAAAAGTAAACACCGAGTTTTCTCATGTTTGATGTCAACAGGAATGTCACAAGAAATGCCAAGCTGAGCTGGCCTCAGTTCATTAAATGGAATATGTTGGGTAAGTTTCACTCAACTTTTGTTTCATTACTTATCACATCCTGTTTTTTAAACTACATTCTGTTCAAGTAGTGTAATATCTGTATATAGTGCAATGGACTATGGTTTCATTAAATACCACATTCTAGAACATTATAAATCAATACTTTAGTTATAAGCTACTTGTTTAATTATTTATTTTACATTAAATATATTAAAATTTAGCTTTCAATTTTTTTTTTCCTTTTTTTTCCCATTGAACCAAAAAAAGTCATTATTAATCATTTGTTTTATTAATTATCTTTTAAAATACATCTAATCTTCATCATTACTCATTCATTAAAACATCGTACATTCCAGGCTTATGGCACTGTTGTGTGTTCTTTTTTGTGGCCTACTTTCTTCAGTGGAAGGGTGTGCCTGTTTTCAGTGCAGGGGAGGTAAGTCATATGATCAGATCAAGAATCACCTACACAAACCATGTAACATAACCTAGTTGTTAATACATCAATTCCATGACATTTTTAAGCCTCCATTTAAAAGTCTCCTTGACTTTTAGTCCATAATTCAACAGTACAAAAAAAATATCCAGATAAATATATTCTGTGAATTAAATTCTAAAATGTTAACAAAAAAGCCTGATACTGATAGTTAAGAAATGACATCCTTCCTTTAAAAAAACATTTATTTGTTTCAGGCTTTAGGAAACTATGACTTTGGTACATTAATTTATTTTTCATGCGTGGCATCAGTCAATATAAAGGTTTGGAACTCATTTTAATTTCTTAAATTTTCTTTGTTTCCACTAAATCTTAAAATTTAGCCTCAGTATTTGCACCAGTTATTTGATTGTTATTCAGCAGTAAATTAACAATAAATTTTCATAGGCTTAGCTATAATTTGATAAGCTATGTTTATTTTTTTTATTTCAGCTAATGCTATGTTTGATATTTTTATTTCAGCTAATGCTAGAGACTTACCTCTATAACTTATAAGCTTTGTTTGATATTTCTATTTCAGCTAATGCTAGAGACTTAAGTCTATAAGCTATATTTTATATTTATATTTCAGCTAATGCTAGAGACTTAAGTCTATAAGCTATATTCGATATTTCTATTTCAGCTAATGCTAGAGACTTACCTCTATAAGCTATGTTTGATATATCTATTTCAGCTAATGCTAGAGACTTATGTGTATATGCTATATTTGATATATCTATTTCAGCTAATGCTAGAGACTTACTACTGGTGTCTGCCCACGTTCATCTCTTACATCATCACATTTTTGGGCATCATTCTTCTAGTTGCCGTCTACACAAATGTCTTTTGGCCGTGAGTCTTTGGTTAACTGTGTTGATGTTATCTACTAGTTATAGATGATTGGGTCAATACTCCAGCATCAAAATTCATTGTTTAAATGAAGTTTAGTTAATATACTGCTATTTTAAATTGTTATCGAGCAGTCCATGTTTTTCTACTGCTAAAATTAATTGATCTAGAGTAGTCATGACTTTTCTACTGCTAAGTTAAAATTGTTTTAGTGTAGTCCAGATTTTTCTACTGCTAAGTTTGGTTGTCCAAGTATAGTTCAGTTTGAAAATGTTAATGTAATCTAGATACTGCCATGTTTGGTATTTTCAGCATAGTCCATATACCACTTGGTGTATTGTAGTCAAGATTTTCTACTGCTGCTAAATGAACCCTCTGTCTCTCAGGTCATTCATCTCCTCCACCAACGACCTGTACAGAGCCCTGGCCCAGATCTACAGCTGTCCAGTCACCTGGCTGGCCATGTTCCTCATGATTGTCCTGGCCCTGCTGCCAGACTACATCCTGCGAGTGGTCAATGACATCAAGGCCACAAAATCTTCTAACAAAAGTGCCAGACATTTCCACAAACAGAACAGGATTTCCTCTGTAAGTTTTCTATGTCCACTTTGTTCAACTAAAAATGGGGTTTGAACTCCATCTTATGTGACACAACTGACTCTAATTTTTTTTTTAAAGATCTACACTTGTAAAATATAGTCAACAAATCTTTGTTTATCCCTCAACTAATGTGCTAGTTCTTCTCTATGAGTTTAAATGTTGGATTGGAATATTACCATTGGATATTGTGGAGTAGCTCTACACCAATCGTACCTTAAGTTCTAGATGTCTGTTGTTTGATTTACTTTCAATATACACTAGAAACAGAATAGTGTAGCTACAAAACAAAGGCTGTACTTGCTTTATATTTTGTGATACACATTTTTTAGTTAGCTGGTAGTTAACAGCTCTCCACAGTTGGAGGTAGTTAACAGCTCTCCACAGTTGGAGGTAGTTAACAGCTCTCCACAGTTGGAGGTAGTTAACAGCTCTCCACAAATGGAGGTAGTTAACAGCTCTCCACAAATGGAGGTAGTTAACAGCTCTCTACAGTCAGATAGTTAACAGCTCTCCACAGTTGGAGGTAGTTAAGAGCTTTCCACAGTTGAGGCTAGTTAACTCCACATTAGCTGCTTGTGTCACAAGCTACAATTGCTTCTCACACATTATGGCTTATATCAATCATTGATGTAATAAATGTTCACAGCCAGCAAAAATATCCTATTATCATATTACAATAACTAACAAATTGACAAGTTTTTTTAAACTGAAAACTATTTTTGCTTTGTTTACACTAATAATAACATTCTGATAAAAATGTCAGAAAATGTCAATGAAAGTAATTTGAGATAACTTACTTGAAGTAGATAACTTGATGAAATATTAAAAAGTAAATAAATACAAAATTTGCTCCACAATTATTTGTGATTAAAATATATTTTTGAGGCTAAAAGAAAACTAGATTTACTTTTTTGTGACTTATTATTTACAACTGTCATTTCTGCTTCAGGGAAACCAAATCTACTTGCATTTGTTTTTCCTTACTAAAGCATTGGGACTAAAACTGTCCACCAGTTACTTCCCCTAACTGTAATTATTTCCCTTTGTCTGCAGCTGTTAACCATATTCCAGGCGGAGCAACTGAGGTCTGCTTCATCCATTCCTTACAGACACATTCTCACCTGAATTTTTATATTACATTTTTTATAAGAACAAATTCTTCACTGGTAAAAAAAAAGATTTTTTTAAACATTTCACCCTGGCCTTGCGAATGCAATTAGAAGGCTTCTGTCATGTAGTCTCCCGCCGTTTGACTTGTGATGGGCCTCTGAACACCTCCCAGCATAGCTGTAACAAGTAAAACTAGTGGCTGAGTTGTTTCAAAAGTTGCATGCAGACAACAAATCAATCCATTCAAACCTTATCAGTTCAGCTTGCACATGATTTTATTAATCACCTTATCATTTTGTTTTCTTACATCTGTCTCGCATGATCATTTTCTAACATTTATTTTTACCACAGTACAACCAGAAATCATTTTCAAACTTTCACATTAATTTATTTTATGAAGGCAAGTCAGGTAGCTGTATTGATTGCTTGCTCATATGTCGATAACCCACTTTTATTATAACAAGATAACAGTGTTGATTTTAGGAGGAAATGCTGATGTTAGCAATATAGATAGTTAAGCAGGGAGCAGTGAAAGCTAAATAGCATGTTTGTTAGTTTGGGAGTGGTGAAGCGCATGCTAGCAGCATTAGATTTTCTTGCATGTTCTCTCAACATTTTTCTTCATCATTATCATCTCCACATCTTTCACCCAAGTATGTTTTCATCTACTTTAAAAAGTAGCATCTTGTTTTACTTGAAAAAGTGCTAGGAATCTGCATGTTAATAGATTTAATTACAGATTCATCATTGAATGATGGTGGTAAAACTATTTTTGAGCATGATGCTTTTTTAAAAATTTCAATGGTAACATTTATTTAAATAATAAAAGGGGGTTGCTTTAAAAAAATAATGGTGGTATATTTACTTTAATATAATATTTGACTTTTTTATGATTTTAAATTGCTACTTCTATGTGGCCTATTATTTGGTAATTTGCTAATAAAAGAGTTGAAGTGTGGCATCAACAAGTCAATGACTGAGGCATGTAGTTTACATTGGTGGGCTCCCTTACCATGCATGAGATAAATTTGGTCTGTCATTTTGACTGGGTTCTGGCCACCCAACTGTATTAGGCCAACATTACAATGTGGCATGTGTCTCCCATGTGGTTTGGCTGTTTAGTAGCTTGTTAGTAGTTAAAGTGGCTGTTGGTGATGTCTGGTTAATGCAAGCGACATGTGGTGATATCTAATGCCAACTATGTGCGCTGATGTCTGGTTAATTAATGCTAGCCACATGTGGTGATATCTAATGCCAACTATGTGCGCTGATGTCTGGTTAATTAATGCTAGCCACATGTGGTGTCCGTTTAATGATGGCCAAGTGTGGGAATAGTCTTATCTCTGCCACTTTTTCCTACTTGAAGCATGGCTTTCCTTATTAGTTTTGCCTGATATTGAAATGAATGTGTTTCAGTTTGTTAGCCTGTAATATTATACTGCTAAAAATATATTTGTTACCTCATTTAATCTCTTGAACTTAATATTAAGTTTGTAGCGGTTAGAATTATCACATTTGTAATCCATCCATGTAAAAATTAAATCTCCATCATTAGTTCAGAAATATTTTAATGTTAAAATTATTTTATAAGAATCTGAGTTTAGTCAAGGTAAGATAGAGTAGAGTTGCGTCCCATTTGTTTTCACTTGTTTACTAAACTTTGATTAACTAATTGCTAGGAACTATTTAGCTGGCTTTTATAATCAAGTATAAATTTATTTTTTACTTTAGGCAAATGGACAAGCGCAAGTAGGGTCCACTTCTGCAAGAAGGCCACAGGAAGTGGACTTTACTTCCAACCAGACTTACGGCCAAGAGATAGAGGTCTGAATACTGTGTTGTTTTATTTCTTGTATTTACTCTGGTTGTTGTTTTTATATTTCTTATTATTTTTGGTACTTGAACGTTATAGAGAAGCGCAATACAAATCATTTTAAAGTTATTTTTTATTTTTAGATTAGAGCCAGGGTTAAGGTTGTAGCAAAGCCAGTAAAAAATAATTTTGATGTAGGATGTCAGGACAAAGGAGAGATGCCCAATTTTATTTATTAATAACACATATGTACTTAGCATCAGCACAGAGAGTCTAGTTCTGCTAACACATCCCTATTTCTATACATACAAACTTGCTAACAGTTGTCATATTTTATCTTACTCAAGGAAATAACATCTAAAACATTAAACTATGGTCTGGTCAGGTTTTGCTGATCAGCAAGCTATCTTTTTTTTGTTTCTAACACTACTAATTCTTCCAAGTAACCATTCTAACTGTATTTACCTGGCAATAACCATGGTTACTGCAGTAACTTACACCACTGAGTGTAGCTCCAGCAGTTGAAAACCAATTACCTCCCTGTCTAAAAGATTTGGTGTTCCACTCAAGTCATTCAATACCAGAGTCACTCTTTAGGAGGTCTCTGTTTGCTTGATTAATACTTGACAACTCTAGTATAATACTTGACAGCTCAGTGTAATACTTGACAACTCTAGTATAATACTTGACAGCTCCAGTATAATACTTGACAGCACTAGTATAATACTTGACAACTCTAGTATAATACTTGACAACTCTAGTATAATACTTGACAACTCTAGTAAAATACTTGACAACTCTAGTATAATACTTGACAGCTCTAGTAAAATACTTGACAACTCTAGTATAATACTTGACAGCTCTAGTATAATACTTGACAGCTCTAGTAAAATACTTGACAACTCTAGTATAATACTTGACAGCTCTAGTATAATACTTGACAACTCTAGTATAATACTTGACAGCTCTAGTATAATACTTGACAGCTCTAGTATAATACTTGACAGCTCTAGTATAATACTTGACAGCTCTAGTATAATACTTGACAACTCTAGTATAATACTTGACAACTCTAGTATAATACTTGACAACTCTAGTATAATACTTGACAGCTCTAGTATAATACTTGACAGCTCTAGTATAATACTTGACAGCTCTAGTATAATACTTGACAGCTCTAGTATAATACTTGACAACTCTAGTATAATACTTGACAACTCTAGTATAATACTTGACAACTCTAGTATAATACTTGACAACTCTAGTATAATACTTGACAGCTCTAGTATAATACTTGACAACTCTAGTATAATACTTGACAACTCTAGTATAATACTTGACAGCTACAGTATAATACTTGACAACTCTAGTATAATACTTGACAGCTCTAGTATAATACTTGACAACTCTAGTATAATACTTGACAACTCTAGTATAATACTTGACAGCTACAGTATAATACTTGACAACTCTAGTATAATACTTGACAGCTCTTGTATATTACTTGACAACTCTCATATAATTTTTGACAACTCAATAATTCACATCATTCTGTCTAGAAGATACAATAATTCTCAATTTAATACAAAAACTACTCACTAAATTATGCTACTGTCACATTACAACACTGTTATACAAATAACAACACTGTAACAGTATCTAATGATAATATTCTCAACAAGATTGTCACTACCTAATCACAGTAGTTCATATAATAATATCTGATGTAATTTAACCTGTTTTCTTACAGCAACTGTAGGCTATCTTCTAGCTGGATATGGGTCTCATAGCTTTCTGCCTGCTAGTCATTTTCATCAAAATATACTCTTTACATGACAATCTGGAATATTCATCTGACTAATTTGATACAATACTAGTAGCATTTACGACTAATAATTGTCCAAATTAAATTTTTTAAATGTTTAAAAGAATGCTATTTGTAGTATGTTCCTAGAACAAAACTTGACAATATTTTTTAATGCTGAGATTAACAAGTTGAAATTAACAATCTCTAAGAACCTAACTTGACAAAATGTAATAAAGAATACTGGCATGCCAAGAAACTTGACAAAATGTAATGAAGAATACTGGCATGTCCAGAAACTTGACAGAATGTAATGAAGAACTCTGGCATGCCAAGAAACTTGACCAAATGTAATGAAGAATACTGGCATGTCAAGAAACTTGACAATATTTCACTCTCTGGTTCTACACAGCCACTGAAGGGACCCTCAAAACCTGTGTAGTAGTCAGAGATTAGGTTTGTTTATTCTAGATACAAGCCCAGTTGCCTCCCTTGATAGAACTCTTATACTCGTATTTCCATTTTCTAAATACCTTTGCTTCATACATTATTGAAAACTGGTTTGAGAATCTGTAAACTAAAGTTTATAAATACATGCAATAGCTGCATTTAATAAATACACAATTAATATACAAGTAAATGATAATTTTTTTTTAAATATAAAGTTTTAAAAATGTCATTTTAAAGAAACAAATATTAACCCAATCTATTTTAATAGACTAAAGATGGAAATATTGATTAGCAAGGTGATTGGTTGGTTGTTGTTTGATGAAGCAACTAACTTGTGATTGGTTGGTTGTTGTTTGATGAAACAACTAACTTATTTCTGGCCAGGTTTTTCCACAACCTAAAGAAACTTCAAAATGAAATGGAAAACCTCAGAGCTACCCTCATAAAAGTGATGTAGGATTTAAAGAAAATGGCTGGTATTCCTGGCATGTTTCTTTGCTGCAGATTAACAATTAGCATTTAATTAGGTCCTAATTCATTTTTTAAAATTCTGCTTATTTAATGCATGTCCCTTAATATTAAAAACAAATATGTATTTTGGTTAAAGGGTTATTAAAAAAACACAAATGAATTAAAAATAAATTAATGGTAGAATAGAAACAGGGAAGTATAAAGGTTTAGGAATATCAAAGGCTGCTTGTATAAAAATAATAATATGTCACAAGACATTGTACTTAAATGTGAACCACAACTAACATGTCAGTAGTTTGAACTCTAACCTCTTACATTTACATAGTTGAAAGCTGGCTACCCGTTGCTTGTGGCAGTCCTCTTCTGCTTGATGCTCTCCCATTTACTTTGCTTTGCACCTGGAAATGATTATAAGATTTTTATAATATAGATATAGGCCTAATTATTTTTTAAAAATATCTAGTCAAGAAGCAACGACTTTTGTTAAGTGTAATTGTTTAATAAATAGACTGTGAAAACTATATAGCTTAAAATAAATATTATTGATGTATATTTTTAAATAGTCAAAGATACAAGATCTTCTACTAAGTGTAATTTGTAAATTTTTGAAAATATCTAACAGAAAAGAAATGTTATCAACAGGTGTTGTGATAGAAATGATGGACTGAATTTGTTTTGCTGTTTGTATGTGTCTGTATGAGAAGATCCTGACCTTAATTTATGACATCTCTCCTGCTTTGAAATCTGCACTGAACTCCTCCTCCATTTGAGAAAAAATTGCTCTGATCTGAATATCAAGCTTCTTTTATTTAGAAAAAAAAAACAATCTTTAGCTTGTTAATTTGCACATTCCACATTGTAATTATAACTAAAATTTGATATGCTAAATAGGCAATGCAGTATCAAATTTTGATAGCTACAATTTGATTGCATCAAAATCTATTTTTATGCTAAACTCTTACTTAGCAATACATTTTACCTTTATTCCATTGCTAGAATGCCCTGCATCCCTTTTTTTATTACATTTTTGTTATGATTAGTTTTGTGATAATGAAACTTTGCTACATTAGAATTATTATATTTCTAGCTAGGATGTGATTATTTAATTAAAGATATTATTCAGTGGTCATAATGTATAGCATAACCCTAAAAATCTTACATTAGAGTATTGACTGTAATATATATTTTGTCTTTTGTTTTAATTAAACTTGTTTTAATTAAATTTCTTGTATTACTGTTTCAGGATGGTAGAATGTCAATTACTGTAAATGTTTCTACTTTTCTTAAGCTTAACTTTTGTGTTTTAATTTATTCATCAAAATCCTGTTGGCCTACTGATTTAAAAAGTTCATCCTAAAATTATTTATATCCACAGCTACAAAGCTCACCCAACGGATTCAACAAAAAGTTGACCGGATACGTCAACCCCGCCCTGAGCCTCTCCTCGGAAAATTTGTCAGCGCCCGCCCCACCCACCAACACCCATCACACTAGCAATGGACATGCTATAAAAATGAAGGACCCCCATAGAAACAACTCTGCTCCAGTGATCTCTAGAGAAAAAGATTCCGAAACTGTGTTCACCATCAGCCTCCCCACTCAAGATTTGACAGTCAAGCAAGAGGACATCAGTCACAATCTGCCCACACCGGAGCATGTGCCTAGCAACGGGGGTGTGGCTAAGCAGACCACACACTCCCCTAAACATGACAGGACCCACTCCCCTAAACAGTTTAAAAAACCCCAGCCCTCGCCCGCCACCAAGAAGAAGAGCCGAGTGTTGGAGGTTGTGTTAGATGACTCATACCCTGATGTGATCGCCACTAATTATAAAAAAATTGACTCGGATCATTCTGACACAGTTTCTGTCACCAGACTTTCCCCTTCCCAGATCTCTGTTCCAGTCTTGGAGGAAGAAAGTTCCAGTGATAGAAATAAACTCTCAGTACCCCAGGTTTCTGTGTCAGTGCCAGAGGAAGAAACTGAATCCTATAACTATAAACTTTAGACGCCAGATGGGACTATGTTTTATGTTGGCCAGATACATTTTCACCAGGCAGCCTAAGTGTATTTCAGACATGTTCTGGTTTTCAGTTGAAAACTTTCAGAGAACTTTGTAGGCTTGTTGAACTATCATGCTGAAATTCTTTCATGGAAATCTTACATCCAACAAAAGAAAGATTGAAGTTATATGAAGGTGAACAGGTGAAACTACAAACTGCGTATTTTTTACTCACCTCAAGTGGTAAGTTGTAGGATGGATGATTTACACACTTGTAATGGGTTAAACTAAACATTACATTCCTCATACTTTTTTTAAAATGATAAAATGTGATTTTTGTGTAAACCATTTAAATGCACATTTATTCTCTAAATTAAACTAGTACAATGCAAACAAGTTGTAGGTACACTGTGTACAAAGCCTGCATACGGTGTACATATTCCTGGTATTTTTACCTAGTGAGTAGTACAACGAAATATGGACAGGCCTATGCTAAAATGAATTTAATGTAATCTTTGAAAGATGAATGAGCATGTTGTAACATTTTTCTCTGGTTACCGTTGCTTTCCTCAGTACATCACCACATTCCAAATGTGCTTTATTTACAAAGTATATCATCCATATTTTTTTTTTCAGATTTTTTTCCTGTTTAATGCATAATATTTTTTTAAATTTGTACAAAGCATTCTCCATCAATGATAAATGCTCTTATTTATTATGTTTTATTCATATTTTTACAGTGTTTATTTACAACAGCACTGAAAATTTCACAGAGCTTGCAATGATTTATCATTAGGATCACTTTAAAAGGCCAATAATTTCATAACTTAATGCCAGTGTTAAAGAAAAGAAACTTGTCTCCATTTTTATTTAGCTGTGCTAGTTTATTTAATTCCTTTAAGGAACGCTCACAATTTCTAATCCATTTTTATGGATTATTATAGCTAATCTTTTATAAATAATATGGAAGAGATTATAATAATTAATCCTTAAGACCCTTATATGTTTTTTTTAAATTGTATTTATGCTGTGCCTATTAATGATTACACAAAACATTCCAAGTAATTTTCAGTGCAGTGCATATGATGGATATTTTTTAATCTGAGCTGCAGTTGACACAGGCCAAAAGAGGAGTTGTGTGCTGCCATTTTTTAAACATTTAAATACTTTTTTGTACGCTGCCAAATTAAGTTTTTTGTGAACAGCAAAAAATTAAATAGTTTCCATGACCTGCCCTTTACTTTCTTAATGACAATTTTTTTTTATAACTCATCACTTTTCACTACTATTTGATACATCAAGCTGCTTATCTGAGACAATAAAAAAACTATCATCCGTCATAATTGAAACCAATAATAAATGGAACAAACAATTATCTGGCAATAATTTCAAATATCTCAGAAGGCTGTTTAGTATCCAAGTTTTGAAATTTTATTTTTTATATTTCTATTTTGTGACCTCGATGTATTACGGGGAAATCAAAAAAATTTGCAATCAGTTTTTACCCTGATCATTTCTGGGGTGAAAAATCATTTTGCCATCAATTTTTTTTTACAATTGTTATTTGTTGATATTGTAGCGTCACAACTGACAAGGCCTTCATGATGTTTAAAAATGTTGTATGACTATTTATAGTTCTATGACTATTTATTAGGAAATATTGTAAATATAATGCAAAGTTGTATGTCATTGATGTGAAGTTTGTGTCACCCACCTCCTCATCACAGGTTTTACTGTCACAAATTGCTAAATTTTTTACCCTTTTTTGCTGTTCGGCTGCTGTATTCAATTTTTTAGAAATAAGTGGGTAAAAATTACTTGATAAATCATGTCAACATTACCAATCTTATGTAGTTAATAACTCAGTATTTTTTTAATCATAAGTTGAAAGGATTGTCACAGATTTTAAGCTAACTTATGAGCAATGATTACAATGTGACTTCTTCAAGTTTGTGGAAATTCCTTTAAGTCCAAAACTCATGTTTACTCAACGGATGGAAACTAAAATGTTAAGACAACATCCCACTACTTAGATAAAATTATGTTAGCAAAATTTTATTTTGTGATGCCAAAATTTTTTATAGGATTAAATAGAAGCAATACTGCATGAATATTGTATGATATAGTCAACTAAAATGTAGCCGTCTATTTGAAATGTCTTTCTTGTTTTTACAGTCGCTGCACCACACACAGAATCTAAGTTGCTGTTTATCTTCTTGCTCAATTTTTAAATTCTTTTTGAAAATTTTTATTTTTAAAACTGAACATTTGGACAGTGATGCATAATTTTTTTAAATCTGTGTTTCTGAATATTTCTAGAAAGTAAAACCATGCCGCACCACAGATCTCTGTAGCTACTTGTGGTTTGCAGGTTTTTTACTTTTATTTTATGAGAGCTTCTTCTGTGGTATATCACTATTTTCTTAGCTCAAGATAAAGCATGTTTATTTCCAAGTTAATGAAGCAATGCTAAAGCCACAACTTTTGTGGATTTATACGGGCATACATTTTTGTGAACATGTTTGCCTTGAATATGTTTTAAACCAAGCTATTTATACACAAAAGCAGTACAATATTTTATGCAAACGTCAGTGAGCTAAAATTCTATTTAAAAAGCTGTTGCTAAAAATTGTTTGATTTGTATTTAAAAGAACTTCACATAAATCAATAAAACAGACTGTTAAATAACACTTTTTAATTTCATTCAAAATATTCTAATTTGTAAGTCTATCTTAGAATTCCCACTTCTAAAAGAAGCAATAATTTTTAAAGACAAACATTTTAATAAATAATCCATTTTTATACATTTACATTGTACATCCAAGCAATCTTGTTATTTTTTATGTATTGTTGGTTCATTAAAGAGGTGAGAGTTACACAAGTGTTTGTTGGTCATTTGAAACAAAAAAGTCCTTTTCCATTTTCAACAGTTAGTGACATGTTTGTTTATTCCATTGATTTGTAATAATTGTAGTGGGTTCACAGTTTTTAAGTTTTGTTGATGGAAGCAGAAGTACAGATGATGAGGGGAAAAAAAAGCAATTTCGTATACAACAAGTTATGTCCCTTGAAACTATCTGAAAACTTTGCAGAAACAAAAGTAATAAATAGACAATCCCCATGACTTTACATTAGACCATGGATAACAAAGCTCATTTACATTTATACAACAAACCAAATGCTGAATAACTAAATCCAAATGTGCAGACAACATGAGAATTGAGGTACATTTGATTAAGTGACAAAACTTTCCTTTGTTTTAAATACTTTGTGATTTGGACGATTATTCCAGATACTTGCCCCTGAGTAAGAGAAGTATTTGGGATGGATATTGATTTAGTCTTTAAAATGTTTTGGAAAAAAAAAAGATCCCTATAATTCTTATAATACTCATACATTTTTTTTTAAGTACAATACCATACATGACTAAACCAAAGTTTGAGTGAAAGTAAGCGTTCCCATCTCCTCCAAATGTTTCTCCTTCAGCCTCCTGAACTTCTCATCTTGTAGTACCGCAGCATTCTGATTGTCAGCTGCTACAGTCAACTGTAAGGAGTTAGAAAAAGTAAAGCTGTCAAAATCGGCCAGATTTTTTCCAGGCAGTATGCCAGTTAGACAAGCCTGTTTAAGGGGAGACAACACTGGCCTCTCACGCTTGTGCCTAGTGTCAGCAGTTTGACAAGAGAATGGCAGTATGTCATCGTCCACTCCCCTAGCCAGTTTGATTTTTTTGGTCTGTGGACTCGCAACCTGACAGAAAGTCCACTCATCTGCTGATAATTTTCTTCGTTGTGTATTTTCTTTGACGCTGACTGTTAACGAAGCTGGTTCTAAGTTCTCCTTGTCTATGTCCAACTCACAATCAGTAGCAGACGTGAATAGTTTCTCATCTCCACTGGTGTCGTCAGACTCTGTGCTCAGGTTTGGTGTGTTGATGTCACGGGACTGTGTGTATATATCAAGGTTTGGTGTGTTAGTGCTCATGATTGTTGTGTTAATGGTTAGCATGGTGAAGTCGTTAGTTTGTGAGTTCATGTCACTGGACTCCGTGATGTTTATGGATGGTGTATTGATGCTCATGGAGGATGTGTTGAGGTTATTAGTGGATAAGTCAATATTTACTGATTGTGTATTGAGCTTCTTAATTGGTGTGTTGATCTTTTTAATTGGTGTATTGAGCTTCTTAATTGGTGTGTTGATCTTTTTAATTGGTGTGGATGGTGTGTTGCTCTTTTTGGTAGGTGTGTTGATCTTTTCTGTTGGTGGGGTTATGTCTGTGGATGGTGTGTTTATGGATGGTGTGTACAAGTTTTTGGTTGGTGAATGGTGAAGAACATCTGTCCTGATGTCAACAGCCTCAACACACTCTACTGCATCCATTGTCTTGTGTGTAGCTTGACTTCTTGATGGCTTGACATTCTGGACCAACTCCACATTTTTGTCTTCTAAACACAAGATTTAACAATATTAGCCCTAAATCTTTATTTTTACTTAGCATAAAATAACAGGTACAAAAAATTATGGTCCATATTAAATTTAAATTTTGAAAAAGTTTATTTTATTTTACTCCCAAAAGGCATAAAATTATTAAACAATATAATATATCCTTTGTCTAATTTATAGAGGGTTTTTTTAAATTAATTTTTATCCTTTAAAAAATGATAATTTTAAGACTTGATTATTGGTTGTAACTTGACGCTCAAATAATATGTTATAAATGATGTTATACTAGTTAAAGCTTAAAAGAAGAGTGACTGAGCACGACAGACCTGCTGTTGACCTAAAGAAGTCTGTGAGTGAGCTCTGTTTCCTCGCAGTCAACAGCTGAGGTGGGGGCGGGGAATTCTGGGTGAAGAAACCACAACTTAAACCTCCACCAAGCATCATCATTTTTCGTGGGGGGATTTTACTTGAGAGCGGTTTGTTTTGTCTGCCATTTGACACCTTGGCCTTTTGCTGACCCTGAGAAAACAACATGCATATTGACAATAGGAAATGTTATAAATGCTTTCTAATTAAGCTAATTAAAATCTATGGGGTAATGATTGCTGTGATGAACAGGGTTCATCTACAGGAGCCTCTCATTATAGAAATGTATTATCAAACACTCATCCACAGAATGTATGAAACCATACACAAAGTCCTCCAAAGTGACTGCAGCAACTTATAATACTTATCTAATGTATATTAAAATTTTCTACAAATAGTGTTTGTCTGTACAAAGGGATTCACATTAAGCTGTCTTCAACGGAATCAAAAACTTAATTTCATTTACCTAAAGCCACTCCCTTGAGAAATTATGAATATGTTTCTATGTTGATTAATGGCTACCCATCTAAAACAAAAAAAAATGTTTCAACAGTTTTTAAAATCAACCACCCCTATGTAAACATGACATCATGAAAGATAGTTTAGTTACCTTTGGGGGGCAAGCTGTAGATAACCAGATGCCATGATCACTGCTGTCATCCATCAAGTCATCCACTCAGCTGGCTCAACTGTCAAATTTATTCTGACAATTCTATTGTAGTGCAGCCAAAATTCCTAATACAAATAGTTCAAGTTGTTTTACCTACAAGCTTATAATTTAAAAATTAAATGTAGGCCTATAGCCTACATTCTAAAACAATCTGAATCAGAATGTACACCTAAACACTAAGTGCTAAGCTCAAAATCATAAACGCTTATAAATATAGGCCTAATAGATTGTTATTTATTAGGTCTGTTAGAATTTCATTATTAGCATTACAAATTTTGAATTGACTACTCGGAAGAAGATTTTTCTCCTCAACATCTCCACTTAGTCTGCAAAAGATAGCTCTGCGCAGTGACCTATGGCTAGGGTTAGAATTAGGGTTAGAGATAGGATAGAGGTACAACATAAGTAGAACATTCACATCACATTCATTGTCATTGTTTGACATTTGATATTTCGGTCTCCACCCCCCCCCCCCTCTGAACCTATGTCCAAAATTCTAAATGGCAAATGGTGTCCCCAGATGCAGACACCCCAAGTCACTGTTGTACTATAGTAGTTTTTCTCACTAAATCTAGAATTTACGCAATTATCAATTTAAACATGACCACTGAATAATAGACATCCATATTTAATCCATTAGGCACTAACTTTGGAGTTTTTAGTTCGTTTTAAACTAAATTACTTAATTTAATATTTATTGTCAATCACTGCCATGTCCAACACATCTCTCCATGACAACTCTTCTTAAGCTTGAAGCTAAAGAAAACCACAAATCAAGTTCGACTTTTTAAGTGGCCATGCACAAGAGTTCCTCACTAGTGATCACCAAATAGTGGTCACGTGGTTTTTTTTTTTTTTAAATTTGGTTGTCATTTTTTCGGCTGGTCTCATAAAAAAACGGTTGACGATATTTGATTTATTTTTTCATAGACTGATAAAACTAATAATGCTTTAGTATGGAAATCAATTTTGTAATATGGAAATCAATATTTAAAAAGTTCTAGTATTTTTGATGAAACCAACTTTTAAATTTAGCCTTCATTCTCCAACGCAAATTTTAAAATGCTTTTCTGGCAAATATAGCCCTGCCACCTATAGCTTGTTGTTATAACGTGAAAGTCCCGCCATTTAGCGCGTGGTAAACATTTTAAATACTAATTAGTAGAAGGTCTCTGGAATTTGGCCGAAAAATCGTCGGAAGTCAAGCGTCCGGTCCGGGCGCCATATTGTTGTTAGCAACCGACCACGCCTCCAAGTTAGCGAGTAATACTATACTATAGACTGCGTATAGAGTATAAGACAGTGTATAGAAAAATTAGTATAGATAGAGTATAGATTAGCCTATTTAGAAATTAGAATAATACTAGATCTATAAGTTAGTACTTTTCTTTAGTACCAAGTCAAGTAAAGTTATTAGATCTAATCTAGATCTAGATGTCTAGTATTTTACTATTAGGTAGAGAGGCTCACTAACTCGAAAGCGTCCTTGGTTGCTAACCAGAACATGGCTACCACACCTTGGCCTACGATTGGGCAATTTTTTCAGCTTTGTTCGAGAGACCACCTTAACATTAACATTAAAAATAATTATCACGCGAAAAATGGCGTTTTTTTTTGCGTATTTTAAGCTATCTGAAGATGACAAAGCTATTTTTGCCAGAAAAAAAAATTAAAATTTGCTTCCGACAATGTAGGTCAAACGTAAACATGGGTATAGTTTGAGTTGTTTAAAAACTTTAAATAATGGTCTGTTATGTGTCCAAATGGCACTGTTCGGTAGGCTATTATTAGACTGATCGTTTAGTGAAAAAATATTGTAATTATTTTATAACCATTTTAAGAAATCGGCGCCCAAAAAAGGTCACTGAAAGCACGTAATTTTTAATTGTGACGTCATCGCTATTGTGATGGATGCTGTACGGAAGTATGCGCAATAGACGCTAAAAGGGTTGTATATTATTTCAAATGGGCTCACAATTTGGCCTTGATTTCATGCGTAATTAGGCTAATTGAGAATCATTAGTGATCTTTTACCTGGCCATGTGATGATAGGTATCTTACAAGGCTATAAAAGCCCGCGAAACACATCGATCTACCCTTCAGATTGGTATTGGTGAGAGTATTTGATGCATACTTATTATAGCAAGGATAACTAACTTGAAAGCGTCTCTGGTTGCTAACAACACAGTAGCGTAGCGAGGGGGGGGGGGGACACATGTCCCCGGGCGCCGAGCTTAGGGGGCGCCAAAATGGGTTGGAAAAATAAATTGAAAGGTTGAGGGGGGTGCAAATTGAAAGTTTGAGGGGGGTGCAAATCAAAATCTCGAGGGGGGGTGCAAATCAAAATCTCGAGGGGGGGGTGCTAATCGAAAAGTTTGTCCCCGGGCGCCGGGAAGGGTCGCTACGCCTCTGTAACAACAACATGGCGTCCTAAACCGGACGCTTAGTTTCGGACATTTTTCTTGTCTGCCCAAGTGACTTTATAGGAATTCATTTTTAAAATGTTTACCTCGTGAAAAATTGCGTTTTTTTCACATAATGTAAACAAACTATAGTTGGCAGTGCTAAATATGCCAGAGAAACGCTATAAATTGCTTTGGATAATGAAGACCGAAGCTCAAAAAGTGGTGCCGACAAACATTCGTAGATCTTTTTAAATATTAGCAACTACGATGTAGATCGGAAACCGAAAGTACATCAATATTAGATTTAACAGTCTGTGTAAAAATAAATCGAATATTACATGCGCTATTTTTTTTTAAAATTCTCCAAAACGGTCACCACCAGAAGTAAAAATTCCATAACCCACGTGACCGCTATTTGGCGGCAGACGTTCGCCTAGGTGGCTCTATCGACTCTTTACTACGTTTGTGTTGGCGAGCGTTAATTGAATATTTTCCAATTTTGATTTTTACATTGCTGGACAAATTAATTAAGTATTTCGATCTGAACACGGGAAGATAGGAATTAGTTGGTATTTCTGTAAAAGCCCGTAAACCCGTGATCTCGTGGTGAAACGCGATCTCGAAAAAGTCTAAGTGCTAAATTATTTACTTGATTTTATTATTACTAATTACTACTAGATCGAATTATAGTTAATATTATTTTCATTTGCTTTCATTTTTATATAATTGATTATTATGATTTAGATCCAGAAGGGCTAGGCTAATAAATTATAATAATCATATTAGAGGACAGCCTGCATAAACAAAAGTTTGCATTCTTAGATCTAGATCTAGTTGACACAGTACAGGGACTTGCGCACACGCTCGCGTGACGAAAGAACGCAAGCGGGCTCGTGACGAATTTGCATAATTTTTCACTCACAAGTGATCAACGTTAATGTGATAGGCGTAGCCTAACAATCTTTAAATAGATCTATCTAGATCTACACACCAGCTCTAGATACAAATTTAAGTATTAAAACTCCACATGGATCTAGATCTAGCTTCGGACGGGCGATGTTTCTCTCGTTGACAAAACAACGCGAGCGAGCCGTCACTACGCACAGCCTATGAGTGGCGAGGTTTGGAATGCATTTCTCGCTCACATGTGATGAAATTTAATGCAACGACAGTTTTAAAAATAAAAACAGATATTTTATTATGCCTATATACTTTTTTTTAATATTTAAAACTCAGCCTAGACAAAGCTTCCATGCTGGATAAGGGAGGAGGGTTAGATTCCGCCGTTAACTCAATCTAGATCTATGTATTATTATGCATAATTGTCCTAATTAAACATTCCTATTTACACTGATTAATCAAGACTGAATAAAACGTGAAAATGAATACCTTTAAAAAGTTTAGATCTATATATTTTTAAACATTTATACGTGATTATTTTTGGTTCATTCATTTGGCGTTTGCTAAAAATATAGTAAATAGATTACATAACCAAGTTACGAGTATCCTTTCGATTTCGTTTTATTACAGCATACCTCCACTTCCCCCTCCCCACACATGATCCTTACGAACCTCCTAGGTAGTTTTCAGGTCAACTTTAGGAATCAGATCTCAGACTGGTTGTCATGGAAAAATCTTTCACAGCTAAGCTGTATGGCACCAATAATTAAAATCATGTATTTTAGTTCATAATGAGCTAAAATCATCAAATGTAGTGCCTAGTTAGTTAGAAAAATATCTCTAGCTTTTATTGGTATTGGTTAAAAAAATAAAAAATTAAAATTAAGATTTAGTGAGCCTCGCTACTATTAGGGCCCTAGTTTTAAGTTTAAGTTTAGTATTGGCCTTCTTTATTTAATAGTTAGTTTAGTTAGTAGGGCCTACTTAGAAATCTAAATCTAGACTAGATTCTAGAATAGATCGAGATTTTAATCTAATACATTCTAAAAAAAAACGTAGATTTATTACTTCAGTTTTCTAAAATAAAATTAAAAAGAGTAGAAAGTCTTGATCAAGGATTAATTTTAAAACTAGTCTAGTCGAGTCAACATGAAACTTTTCTTCTTGCCGCTAAATTAGGGGAAGTCACTCTGAACTAAACAAGGGTGGTTCCCATTAGCTGTATATGTTGACACATTTTCGCATTTTAACTATTGCATTATTTTTACACCACGCAGTTATATTCTGCTTCTTTTTTTCTTTCTCGTTATTCTTAAACACGTTCATATAATTTAATTTAATGTACTGATATCGATACAATTTTTTTTAAATCCTAAATCTCAATTTCATCGTTTGTTTTTTCTGCCTGTTCGTCCGCCTGTAAATCGAAATAGCTCTAGATCTAGTATAGTGTAGTAGTGTATAGTATAGAATCTAGATCGTAAATCCAGTGAGTGTAACTAAATTAAAAGGTAGATCCAGCTGCGTTGAGGTTTATTCAAATAGTAATATAATGGGTAGTTGTCTTTATTTTCTGAAGATATCAACACCACCCATTTTATTTTATTACTCAGTTTCGATAGAATCTATAGATTTTCATTGTGTGCTTTTACATTCGAATAAATCTTACAGTTTTATAACCTTTTTATTACTATTAATATACTAGATCTAAATAAAAGGCCCACTTTAAAATGCCACACTTTATGTAAATAGTAAATAATATGCTGCCGCTTTAAGGACAACCAAAATAATACAGAGTTTTGAACAAGCCTAGAAGAGTTACGGGGAATGGCTATTTAATTTTTAAACAAACAAGTTCCTTGATATTATTGATAAATGATATTAGCCTTAGTATTACAAAACTACGATTAAAAATTAGTTGCTTGAAATTGTTATTATGAAAAATTAATACTAAATGAGGACTTATAAAAACAAATTTTATTATTTCAGAAATTTTGAATGTGGCAGGTTAAAAGAAATTGTACTTTTTCCTGAAATAGATTTATCCCCAATGACCACTAAACATCATTGTTCTCTAAAGAAAAGAGCTTCCAGTTGACTTGTGTTTGCAAATTTTAGAGTATGGTTTTATTCATGACCAGCTTTATGTTGCTATTGCTCTAGCATGCTTAAGACATCAGAACTAGGATTCTTGAAGGAAAGGATATAGAACAACAGGTAGGGGAATCTGAAGCTGTCATTTATACAGAGATATATAATTTCTAATTAATAATCCTAATGGTTAAGGTTGTTCATATTCAAAAATTGTAGGATTTTTTTTCTTTTGTGCATGTTGTCTAACAGGCTAGTTGCAAGTATGTATAAAACAAAATTTATACATGGTCAAAACAAGAAATAACAAGAAGAAATATATATGTAATCAAATTGTTTATTATTTGAAATAAAAGAAAGAGGAAGAACAATTTTTTTAATAATGCACCAACTCAGTCGGTATAAAAAATTTTATGTTGCAATATCATAAGATATTTTTTATTGAGAGAAATACATTGAGGCTGTTAACCATATTGCTTTTTATTTGTGGCATCTAATTCTCTAGCAACTAAATAAAATCTCTTACTTTTAAACAATGTATGCTTTTTTTAATATAATGAACATTAACAATCTAAGGCACTGAATGATATTACTTTATACTGTAACAAATTTTATACTTGACATAAGAAACTGAAAGGACAGACTAACAATGACATGATGCGTATGGTATTAAATAAACAGTGAAAGACTATGGTTCGGTGTTGGTACACAAACAATACAGCTGTCAGGTACAGGTGAATGTTTCCTGACTTGTAAAAAAAAAACAATAGTTTGCAAACAAATAATAAATTATCAGCATTGGTTATCACAATTTAAAAAATCATTAAAAAACCTATTGAATAATTTATCATTATAATAATATTTTGTTTGAAAAATGAACAGACATGAATAATATGACTAAAAAATGGAATTTCTTACTTGATAACACCACATCATAAATACAAACAACCTCTTCACAATGTTCAAAAAATGACTCACAATTCACTGGATACATAAAAAATAGATTAGTATAATCTATATAGATGACCTGAGCTTATAAACAATGTAACAGATAAATAATTTTTAGCATAAAGAAGGATCAAGGTAAAAATCACATGAAAGCTATTTGACATGAAGCAACAAGATATCACTGACGTCACCTGCAACCACCACTCAATGGGCTGCCATCCAAGCTGTCGGCCATCGGGCTTCCCGCTGACACTAAAGTTTTATCCGAGCTTGTGCTCTCATCATTTTCTCCAGAGTCTGGGCTGTCAGGGGATAACTGCTCCTCTTGCATCTTCCGTCTATTGACATACAAATTGTCTTTCCATTAGTATAATTCACTGACTACATTAAATGTTTTCACACGCTAAAATTTTAGTTTTTAAATTTAACTAGAAATGTTAATTAAATAAAGTAAGCATTACAATAATTAAATCACAAATACAATTTTAATACTTATATATTATGAGCAAAAACCCTCTTTAATAGAAAATTAGGGATTAAATTTTAAAATACATAGTTAATTTTAGGATTAAAAAAAAAATTGTTGAAGAAGTAATAAATGCTGGAGTTCTTTGAGAATAAAGAGACACAAGTCAGAAAATGTAATTATAAAATATCAATTTTACATGGGAACTTATAAAAGCAAATGAAAATCTAGGATTTCTTTTTTTAAAAAATGAGTAGAAATCATAAATAGCAAAACAAAATTAAAAATAGGAAAAGGTATAAAAAAAATTTATTGAGAAAAGTAGAGGGTTAAACCAAAAATTTTGTCCCACCCTAAAACATAAAAATACATGCATACTTGAGAAACAGCATAAAAACTAGGAATATGGGTAAGATGTGCATAATTTAAATTTTTATAAATTATTTCAGCTAATTTAGATAATGTAGCTGATCTTATGCAAATACAAATAGTTTAAGCACCAAAAGAATCCCTCAAATGTCCAGGAGAGGAAAGAAACAAAGGTGGTTTATTCACTTAGACTGTAAATTCTACAGCAACCTCTGTCTGCGACTCCCTTCTGTGAAATATCCAACGGTTCCTGAATGCCAATTTCTTTTGTATAGCAAGGATAAATTTTTTCTTAACTCTTTTAAATTTGTTATGCACTGGGCGGAGCTGTAAGCTTATTGTGTCAAATATCCTTGAAGAAAAATGCCAACATTAAACATACATCCCGTCTTTAAACACAATTATGGCAAAATTCTCAAAACTTAATTCCTATTCACAGTGTATCTTTGAACCGTGAACACATCAAAGAACCCAAGACAAATATTACTTCAAAAGCAAAAGATTTTTAACACAATTTTTCCACTAGACTACCAACATCTAGCTTTACAGAATGAAAACGTGTATGGCACGAACCTGGCTTCCATGCGTATACACTTAGGGCACTTATCAGGAACAAAACATCCTTTATGGTAGCAGGACTGACAAACTGAAAAGAAATCAAATTCATAAACTAAGCTAGACATTTGTTAACCAATCCATCTATCCTCCCCAGATTAAACCTAACATAGCACACCATTACTAACCCCACTAACAGATCAAACCCAACCCTCCATCAGATCAAACCCAAACCTCCACCACAATAGAACCCAACAATCAACCCCATTAAAACCCAACCCTTCACCCCCAATAAAACCCAACACTCCAGTGAACCCCAACCTTCCACCCCAATTACAACCCCCCCACCCCACCAGATTGAAGCCACACCTCCCCCTGATATACCTGTACTAAAACCTTACCTTGACAGCTGACAACAGACTCCAGCTGGAAGGGGAAGATAACCTTGGGGTCATGACACATCCCGCAGATGAAACCTAGGCCTTGACACAGCTGGTGACACAAGGTAAACAAAGCAATGACGTCAGGGCTCAACGTAAACACATCAAAGTAAACTCAGGTACCAGAGCTTTATAGTAGACACATCAATGGCATCTGAGCTTAAAGTTAACAAATGTGACTCTTAACTCATGACAAGCAGCTTGATGCTTGTTTTGGAAAAATTAAACAAACATGCTTGCAACAGAAATATATGCACTTAAATTGTCTGTCATCATATGTTAAAGAATTACCTGACAGTCTTCTACATGAGACAGGGCTAGAGAAATAAAAGCCTTGATGTGGCTCAGCATGGCTCCTGTTTTCACCTGAAAGGAAATATAGGGAAAAAATATTGGTACAAGGATAGACCATACAGATCTTTTGATAAAAATGATTTTTTGCTCTACACTATTTTTATCACTTAATTCAATACTCACACCATTGAACTATCTATTCCCAATATTTCAGAATTTTAAAGAAAATTTTATCCATCTACTACAATGAATGTATCAGCAGCGTAGTGTAAGATGTTTTAAGGCTTAGACAATAAAAAAATTATATGAATGATTTTAGCCTCAGTGTATAGTTATAGAGAATGTAAAGTGTGTTTATCAGTGAGTTTACCTTAACAAAGTCGTCCATAGAGTAGGCGTCATCATTGCTTATCCAATGGCTGGGTAGTCTCCGCATCTCTTTCAGAATTCTACACAAGGCAATACAACAACGTTAGACAGTGAATTTTTAAAAGGTTTAATTTTTATTATTGTTGCTTTAGTGACATCATGTCATAATATCAGAAATGTAAATATAAAATGATTAAGAAATTCTTTATTATTATTTTTCAGAATAAACAAAAGAATTAAATTATAATATTAATATAATGCAATAAATTAATCTGTTGGAGACCTAAGTGTGAGGGTGTCAGGATCTCAATAGAATACACAACCAACACGATTGAGGCTAGGTATCACAGTATCCTTTATTTCTCTTCAACGCGCCACCTAGTCCCACATCAACCTGTCTGCTTTCACTCCAACTTTCAACTGTCCTCCCCATTCATACCACCTTTCCCCCGCTCACAACACAGCCACTGTCACCCAACCAGTCGCTTCCCTTGTACCCTCGTTCATTCCGTACAACAACATACACATCAACACACCTGGCCTCACATCTCACTACATGATACATACACACACGCAGTGATCCGTTCCACATATTCACCTTTCATACACATTACATCACCACACTAAGGTTGAAACATTTGTGACTGGGTGTTTTTTTTTTAATTTGATTCTTTAAATTTAGAGCCTTGTCATTGTATTTTTCATTATTTGTCTTAAGTCATAGGGTTCAAATATATATATATAGGTTGAGAAGCTAATGATTTCAGTGCAGAAACATTTGAAAAAATAATAAATTGAAGTCTCGCTTTTAAAGTTAGAGGAGTCACTAGTTATTTGGGAGTTAAGAGGAGTCACTCTAGACATTTTACTTGGGATCTCTCTTTTAAAGTTAGAGGAGTCACTAGTTATTTGGGAGTTAAGAGGAGTCACTCTAGACATTTTACTTGGGATCTCTCTTTTAAAGTTAGAGGAGTCACTAGTTATTTGGGAGTTAAGAGGAGTCACTCTAGACATTTTACTTGGGATCTCTCTTTTAAAGTTAGAGGAGTCACTAGTTATTTGGGAGTTAAGAGGAGTCACTCTAGACATTTTACTTGGGATCTCTCTTTTAAAGTTAGAGGAGTCACTAGTTATTTGGGAGTTAAGAGGAGTCACTCTAGACATTTTACTTGGGATCTCTCTTTTAAAGTTAGAGGAGTCACTAGTTATTTGGGAGTTAAGAGGAGTCACTCTAGACCTCTTACTTTGGATCTCTCTTTTAAAGTTAGAGGAGTCACTCTTACTTTGGATCTCTCTTTTAAAGTTAGAGGAGTCACTCTTACTTTGGATCTCTCTTTTAAAGTTAGAGGAGTCACTCTTACTTTGGATCTCTCTTTTAAAGTTAGAGGAGTCACTCTTACTTTGGATCTCTCTTGCAGACACCCAACAGGGACTGGAGATGGACCAGCTGCTGACGACACTCTCTAATGTTCTCCAGCCCTCGGACGCGTCGGTACAGCGACGGGTTGATGGTGTCCACGTGGAAGAGAGGCTCCGCCCACATTTTCTCCAGCAGGGTGTATGAGAATGTGGCTACGGGGTAGCGGTTGAAGTGCCAGCGCTCCAGTACATGCCCAGGTATGATGGAGGTCTCCCCTGTGTGACAGCACTGACAGAAGTACTTTCCCAGGTACTCACAGTACTTGTACCTTTTCATCAAAGCTGGGGACAGCGGAACAATTTTTATTCTCTGAATATTACAAGCAGAATTAAATGTATAGTAAACAAAAAGTTTTTTTTTTCAGCAACTGCAATACTAGAGATAGAAAATTTTAAAAATAAACATACTCTCAATTAAATGTTTACCTAGATTCAGGTGGTCAAGACAAAGAATAAAAGAAGACGGATTTTTACAAGATGAAAAATGTAGGAGAATAGTAAAGAGATAGTGGTTAATGAACCTATCAATATCTTTCAATGTAAAATTAAAGACATCTAGCTAGTGGCTGATTGATAAAATGGTTAATTAAATTTTTAATGAAGACAGTGAGAATGCTTTTCTCTATACCTGGATCCACCCTCAAACCACAGCCAGCACAGCGAAAGTTTTGCCGACTCATCACAACAGATTGCCTGAAAGATACAGATGGTCCCATTGTAAACCAATGCTGATGACATTATACACATGTATGGGTTCTCATTTTTACAGAACTCCAATTAATTTTTAACCTATACTATAGCTACTTAAGCGTACTAAACTTTAATTTTAATACCATGATTTATAGAAACACCTTTATTGTAGTTCAAAAAAATATTTTATTATTATTTTGTAAATCTCATTAAAAATTTCCATTCCAACCCATGATAAAATAAAGCATGACCTACTTTTCAGGCGGGTGAACACTAAATATAATCTGTGCTCTGGGTGGGGCCCATTCCATGTTGCCTCGCAGTCGCGTCTGCTCAAGATTTGTTACGTTATTAAAATACTTGTGTAGTTGTAAGGCTACATTAGGTGGAGCGTATGTGACATAAGGAAGTGTTCATACGATAAAATGGTTCATGTGAGGAGAGAAACATTTTACATGATGAGAGAAAGGGTTCTGTAATGAAAGAAATGGTTCATGTTGTGTGAAAGAGTTTGATAAGAGACGGGTTAGATTCTTAACTAAATATTTGACCAAACTATAACATAGCATATGTCAGATAAACTTTTAAGCTGGTGTTAAGCTAAAGAAAGAAATAAACCAACTGTTTAGTGTTAAAGAAAGAAATAAACTTAGTGTTTAGTGTTAAAGAAAGAAAGAAATCAAGTGTTTAGTGTTAAAGAAAGAAAGAAATCAAGTGTTTAGTGTTAAAGAAAGAAAGAAACCCACTCTGTTGGGCGTGGCCAGAACTGTACTGTTGACATCATCTGGTGAGATGGGGATGGAAGACGGCAAGGGAAGCAACTGCCAACAATAAAGTTTAATATTAGACATTACATGGAACAACTTTCAGTGAATCTTTAGTAAAGAGATGTGTTAAGTTTTATCAAACTAGTGTTGGTCAGTGACTTACACTTTGAGGGGCATCTCTTTCAGAGACCAGCCATTTCAGTTCCGAAGCTTTTGGGAGATGTTTTTCAGAAAACTTTTTTAGCAGCGAGATGGCGATGGACTCCGCTGATCCAGGGTTGGTGGATTCTTCAAAGTTACTGCAAGAGGCAAGTTAGCATTAGAGCAGGTACATTTACAAAGTTTGATTCAAAATATTAGCATTAGAGCAGGTACATTTACAAAGTTTGATTCAAAATATTAGCATTAGAGCAGGTACATTTACAAAGTTTGATTCAAAATATTAGCATTAGAGCAGGTACATTTACAAAGTTTGATTCAAAATATTAGCATTAGAGCAGGTACATTTACAAAGTTTGATTCAAAATATCTAAGGCCTAATATGGATAAGCTACAATTTTATACAACATTATCTGTAGCCTGACATACAAGTTGACTAAGTTTTAACTAACATTTCTAAGGCCTAACAAACATGTTGCATAGTGCTCATTCAACATACCTAACATATAAGTTACAAACTTTATTCATCTACCCTAAGAACTACATGAAAGCTTATGGTAAAGTTTACCTGATCTTCACAATCTGTTGATTACTGCGTGCTAGTTCCACTTCTGGAGGTGAAAAAAAAATTATTATTAAAGCAGATATTATAAAGTTATTTATAATTTATTTTTTAAAAAGTTTATTTATTTTTTATGGCATTGAAAATGTTACTTTTATCTTGTGTATTTATAAATTGACTGCTTAAATTTTAATTTTTAATATATTTATTATTTATTGATCAGAGTGGTCGGGCATTAATGTGCATGATGGCTAGACAGAAAGTTTTGGGTTCAATGCCTGTGTTATAATAAGTACTGATACATGACTACAATGAATTAATTACCATACCATATTAGCGCTTATTGATATTTCAGGGTCTATTTAAAGTAAAGAATCAGAATGTGTAAAGTTATTAGCAGTGGAAGGTATTTTTTTTTTGCATTGATAAATTGGCGTGACAATGTTTTTAGCAAGCAGAAAGTTTAGTTGATAAAGTTAAAGAAATGTGGAGACTATGGTGTTTTTAGCAAGCAGAAAGTTTAGTTGATAAAGTTAAAGAAATGTGGAGACTATGGTGTTTTTAGCAAGCAGAAAGTTTAGTTGATAAAGTTAAAGAAATGTGGAGACTATGGTGTTTTTAGCAAGCAGAAAGTTTAGATGATAAAGTTAAAGAAATGTGGAGACTATGGTGTACACTAGTTTGTACAGAAAAAAAAACACTAGAAATCATGCAGAGATGTTACTAGAAGCTTTAAAACCTACTCAAAATAATTTTTAAGACTATTACAAAGAAAAATAAGATAGAGTACATGAGCAACAAAGTCTAAAATTAGAAAATTAAGCAACCGATCTATAAATATTGAGATAGCAGAGATAGCAATATGAAAACAAAGCAACCAAGTCTATAATGTGAAAACAAAGCAACTGATCCAAAAATGTGGAAACCAAGTCTTTAGTGTGCAAACAAAGCAAACAAGTCTATAATAACAAAGCAACCAAGTTTATCATGTGAAAACAAAGCAACCAAGTCTATGATGTGAAAACAAAGCTAGGCATAAACTAAGGGAGAAACAAATAATGTCTGGAGAGAAAAAAGATCTACAGCACACTGCCAGGCACCTGAGTAGAGGGATGCCATCGACAGAGCCAGGCCACTGGAGCGTAACTCTGCCAGGTTTCCATGGCTGTCAGATGACACTGGGGAGGTAACAAGGGCAGAGAGTCAAGGGGAGGTAACAAGGGCACAGAGTCAAGAGGGAGGTAACAAGGGCACAGAGTCAAGGGGAGGTAACAAGGGCACAGAGTCAAGGGGAGGTAACAAGGGCAGAGAGTCAAGGGGAGGTAACAAGGGCACAGAGTCAAGGGGAGGTAACAAGGGCAGAGAGTCAAGGGGAGGTAACAAGGGCACAGAGTCAAGAGGGAGGTAACAAGGGCACAGAGTCAAGGGGAGGTAACAAGGGCACAGAGTCAAGGGGAGGTAACAAGGGCAGAGAGTCAAGGGGAGGTAACAAGGGCAGAGAGTCAAGGGGAGGTAACAAGGGCAGAGAGTCAAGAGGGAGGTAACAAGGGCAGAGAGTCAAGGGGAGGTAACAAGGGCAGAGAGTCAAGAGGGAGGTAACAAGGGCAGAGAGTCAAGGGGAGGTAACTAGTGCACAGAGTCAAGAGGGAGGTAACTAGTGCACAGAGTCAAGGGGAGGTAACTAGTGCACAGAGTCAAGGGGAGGTAACAAGAGCAGAGTCAAGGGGAGGTAACTAGTGCACAGAGTCAAGGGGAGGTAACTAGTGCACAGAGTCAAGGGGAGGTAACTAGTGCACTGAGTCAAGGGGAGGTAACAAGTGCAGAGGGTAATGTAACAAGTACATGAAATCAAGGGAGGTAACAAGGACACAAGATCAGAGGAGATAACAAGGGCACAGGGTAAGAGGCAGGTAACTAGTACAGTGGGGGTAACAAGGACACAAGGGGACTTAAATAGTTCCTAAGATAGGGGGAGGTAAAAAGTACATTAGTTCAAGGGAGGTAACAATAACACAAGGTCTGTGGGAGATAATATAAGTATACATGATCAGTACATAATAACAGGGGGATAATATAACATGTACACAATAACAGGGGGAGGTAATATTTCACTTCAGATCAGGGGAGGTAACAGGTGCACAAGCTCTGAAGAAGTACATTTACACAGGATATGTACACAATGGCATGGGAAGAAAAGGGGAGATAATGAGTGCACCAATCAGGAGAAACAACATTACACAAATTCAGAGAGGAGTTAACAAAACCTATGTAACAAATACATTAAGGAAAATATTTTATGGCAACATTTTTTTTCTCCATTTTCTGTGGAAAAACTGTGAGCTATTAATTCACATGTACACTCAGGGCTGATTAAACCCTTAAGGTTATCAGATGGTGTAAAGATAATCAGTGGATGAATTTGTTTCCATACACATATGAAACACATGGCTCAAGTCTGACTACTCACTGTTTAAATCAATGTTTCTGTCATCATCATCGTCATCTGATGTTGAACTGCCTGTTGGAGAAAATCAAAGAGCTGGTCATGCATAAGGGAAGACAATACAACATTGTTGTGGTCTTTTGGAAGAAAATACCACATTCCATGATCTTGATCAAAACAATTACACTTATGTAACACTACATACAATGCCATCACCATTACATACCAGTGATGTCACTACATACAATGGTATCAACATATACAAGGATGTCAATATTTAAAAAATGACCTTTAAACAGACCTGAAGAAGAAGAGATGTCATGATCAGCTGATGACATGACCTGACAGTTTGAATCATCTGGAAAATGTCAACATGAAATTGTTATTTGTGGCTTACATTTACACAACCAATCTTTTATCCATGATTTGGTTCTTTAAATGTTCAGCATTAAAAAAAATGCAGCACAAATTTCACAGTTTGAGAGACATGAAGACTACACGATTACTTACACACTCTACTTCATCTGCTCAATGGATTTGTAGGTCTAAAGAGGAACTTAACACACTAACATACACTGTCACACACCCTCACACAATAGCGAACCTAGTTACCCACACACAAAACCAAGAACAGAACAACACAATAATCTATTGACCAATGACCTACACACTAACCACTGCAGAGATCCACACAAATCTATTGACCAATGACCTACACACTAACCACTGCAGAGATCCACACAAAGCTATAGATAGCAACAAATAAAGTGAGCCACAAAATGACCTAATACTTACTTTCTGTCTGTCCATCACTACTCAGGGAAGGAAAAGGTCGACCTTTCTGGGAAAACAAAATACATCAAATTTTATAAGTCAACAGAAATGCATTTGAGCACCTGAATTTTTAAAATTTCCATAACATAAAAACATAAGGGTATAGATAGATTATGGGAGGGGTGTTGTACTTACTGAACCTAAAGTAAAATCTGAACCCAGACTTGACTTGAGACTACTCTATGTGTTTCTGATCCTATGACAACTTACCGCCAGCATTTTTTCTCGTTTGCGTATGCGTATCCTCTGCCTCAGCTCGTGGATCTCCTCATCAGATGAGGAGGATGAAGAGGACGAGGTTTGCCTCCCTGTGGCCTGTTTCTTCATCATACGGCTCCACTTCATGGCTTCAAATGCTGCAATCAGGGCCTCGGATATGTGGAAGTGGGCGTTCTCCTGTAGTAGTGGGGGTAGGGGGGAAACAATATAAATTGTAGATAATTAGTATTGGATAAATGCTTGAGTATGTGGGAAAATAATTCTTATGAAATGTTTAGGAAAAGAAAAAAGGAATAGAGTTTTTTATTAACAGATTGTCTTTCAAAAATTATTTCTTTAATATTGATATTTGGATTTAGATAAAAACTTGTGTTTTTAAAATTAAAACATTTTGGTCACTAATGTAAATATTTAGTACTTCCAATAAAGTTCTACATTTTTTGGCCTTATCTTAGGACAGACAATCACGCTATACTTAAAACAAAAAAAAACGTAATGCAACATGATGTAAGCGCTGGTGCAGGTAGCAGCACTGGCTGCACCTGGTGCCTTCTCACCTTCTCCAGGTTGGCGCAGGTGTTGAAGTCCTGTGACGAGAGATAACTCATTAAACTTTGACCCTCCACTGGCTTGGTTAGCGTCCCCTGATAGCTGTCCCATCCTGAGGCTGGAAGAGAGATTGGTCAGTAACTAAAATAGGTCGCAACTTAATCAGGTCTCTCTAAGAGAGATTGGTCAGTAACAAAATAGGTCGCAACTTTATCATGTCTCTCTAAGAAAGATCGGTCAGTAACTAAAATAGGTCGCAACTTAATCAGGTCTCTCTAAGAGAGATTGGTCAGTAACAAAAATAGGTCGCAACTTAATCAGGTCTCTCTAAGAGAGATTGGTCAGTAACTAAAATAGGTCGCAACTTTATCATGTCTCTCTAAGAAAGATCGGTCAGTAACTAAAATAGGTCGCAACTTAATCAGGTCTCTCTAAGTCAAGAACAAACTAGGTCAATAATTGATTAGGTTAAAGGTTAGGACAACCAAAACATAAACACAGGTTTAGTTCCCAGAGAATGGAATCCCCCACCAGTCTACTATTTACATCAGCCCAAGAGTCTTCTATTTACTTGTAAATCAGGGATGTTCTAGTATTCTTCCTACCCCACCCAATCTGATACAAGGGACAAGGCCACCCCCCACAACTGTCCCTAGTCCCCACCCACCCACCCCATCCACGAGCACATGTCTGCCACCTTCACTCATCACAAACTGTTGTCCCTTTCTTCTACCAAACTCCCTCCCTCCCCATCCTAAGAAAATGTCCCCTCCCTTTCACCCTTACTCAAAACAAATGTCCCCAACCCCTAACAAATGCCCCCACCCCACCCCAAACAAATGTTCCCCACCCAAACAAATGTCCCCCACCCCAAACAAATGTCCCCCATCCCAAACAAATGTCCCCCACCCCAAACAAATGTCCCCCATCCCAAACAAATGTCCCCACCCCACCCCAAACAAATGCCCCCACCCCACCCCAAACAAATGTCCCCCACCCCAAACAAATGTCCCCCATCCCAAACAAATGTCCCCACCCCACCCCAAACAAATGCCCCCACCCCACCCCAAACAAATGTCCCCCACCCCAAACAAATGTCCCCCATCCCAAACAAATGTTCCCCACCCAAACAAATGTCCCCCACCCCAAACAAATGTCCCCCATCCCAAACAAATGTCCCCCACCCCAAACAAATGTCCCCCATCCCAAACAAATGTCCCCACCCCACCCCAAACAAATGCCCCCACCCCACCCCAAACAAATGTCCCCCACCCCAAACAAATGTCCCCCATCCCAAACAAATGTCCCCCACCCCAAACAAATGTCCCCCATCCCAAACAAATGTCCCCCACCCCAAACAAATGTCCCCCACCCCAAACAAATGTCCCCCACCCCAAACAAATGTCCCCCATCCAAAACAAATGTCCCCCACCCCAAACAAATGTCCCCCATCCCAAACAAATGTCCCCCATCCCAAACAAATGTCCCCCACCCCAAACAAATGTCCCCCATCCCAAACAAATGTCCCCCACCCCAAACAAATGTCCCCCATCCCAAACAAATGTCCCCCACCCCAAACAAATGTCCCCCATCCCAAACAAATGTCCCCCACCCCAAACAAATGTCCCCCATCCCAAACAAATGTCCCCCATCCCAAACAAATGTCCCCCACCCCAAACAAATGTCCCCCATCCCAAACAAATGTCCCCCACCCCAAACAAATGTCCCCCACCCCAAACAAATGTCCCCCACCCCAAACAAATGTCCCCCACCCCAAACAAATGTCCCCCATCCCAAACAAATGTCCCCCACCCCAAACAAATGTCCCCCATCCCAAACAAATGTCCCCCACCCCAAACAAATGTCCCCCACCCCAAACAAATGTCCCCCACCCCAAACAAATGTCCCCCACCCCAAACAAATGTCCCCCACCCCAAACAAATGTCCCCCACCCCAAACAAATGTCCCCTCCCTTTCACCCTTACTCAAAACAAATGTCCCCCACCCCAAACAAATGTCCCCTATCCCAAACAAATGTCCCCTCCCTTTCACCCTTACTCAAAACAAATGTCCCCCACCCCAAACAAATGTCCCCCACCCCAAACAAATGTCCCCTCCCTTTCACCCTTACTCAAAACAAATGTCCCCCACCCCAAACAAATGTCCCCTATCCCAAACAAATGTCCCCCATCCAAAACAAATGTCCCCTCCCTTTCACCCTTACTCAAAACAAATGTCCCCCACCCCAAACAAATGTCCCCTATCCCAAACAAATGTCCCCCATCCAAAACAAATGTCCACCATCCCAAACAAATGTCCCCCACCCCAAACAAATGTCCCCCACCCCAAACAAATGTCCCCCACCCCAAACAAATGTCCCCCACCCCAAACAAATGTCCCCCACCCCAAACAAATGTCCCCTCCCTTTCACCCTTACTCAAAACAAATGTCCCCCACCCCAAACAAATGTCCCCTATCCCAAACAAATGTCCCCTCCCTTTCACCCTTACTCAAAACAAATGTCCCCCACCCCAAACAAATGTCCCCCACCCCAAACAAATGTCCCCTCCCTTTCACCCTTACTCAAAACAAATGTCCCCCACCCCAAACAAATGTCCCCTATCCCAAACAAATGTCCCCCATCCAAAACAAATGTCCCCTCCCTTTCACCCTTACTCAAAACAAATGTCCCCCACCCCAAACAAATGTCCCCTATCCCAAACAAATGTCCCCCATCCAAAACAAATGTCCACCATCCCAAACCAATGTCCCCCATCCCAAACAAATGTCACCAAACATTTAGAGTAATGCCCCTTAGTAATTGGGGGTCATCTAAAAATAGCCGTGTATTTATCCCCATATGGCTAAGTGCGCAGCTGGAGCACCCGGTCACCTGTAGGCCCATCACGTGACCGAGCACTCTCCGACCAAGTTCTATGTTGATACGCCAGTTTGTTGATGTTGACATGACACAGCTGACCTTTGACCTCGCCGGTTACTCACTTGTTTAGAATGTTTTGGGCCATCAATAAACAGCTGTCACGTGACATCATCACACGATGTATTGATTCGTGAGTCGGTATCGATACGCTACGTGTGTGGGGAATGTGAGTGGTGTGTGGGGATACACAGGATTAAAGGGTGAGTGTGTGGGGAATGTGAGTGGTGTGTGGTGATACACAGGATTAAAGGGTGAGTGTGTGGGGGATGTGAGTGGTGTGTGGTGATACACAGGATTAAAGGGTGAGTGTGTGGGGGATGTGAGTGGTGTGTGGTGATACACAGGATTAAAGGGTGAGTGTGTGGGGGATGTGAGTGGTGTGAGGGGATACACAGGATTAAAGGGTGAGTGTGTGGGGAATGTGAGTGGTGTGGGGTGATACACAGGATTAAAGGGTGAGTGTGTGGGGGATGTGAGTGGTGTGAGGGGATACACAGGATTAAAGGGTGAGTGTGTGGGGAATGTGAGTGGTGTGGGGTGATACACAGGATTAAAGAGTGAGTGTATGGGGGATGTACACACGATATCCCACATCGCATTTTTTCGAGAGTTCGTGGCGGTGCATTACGTGTGTAGGGAGGGGGGGGGATGTAGAGGGCAAAGGTGACGGCTAGATTTTCTTCTAGGTGTGTATGATGAAGGGGGGGGGGGGGCAGTGACAGGCCAAAGAGTAGAAATAATTAGCTTATAAATAAATCACAACCGTAAAACAGCCAACATGTTTACAAAAAGACTTGTCTACTTTGTGCACACGAAGTAAAGTTTGGTCACGCGCCCACAACTCCAAGCAGTACTGATGTATCTGGTCATTCAACCAGCATGCGGGCGTGCTAGAGGTTAGCTACAATGTAGCCTTCATTCACCCGACTCTTTCCACGTGGATTACTTGACACAAAACGATGTTTTATACGCGGTGATAAAGATGACACCAAACTTAACATCATGGTTTGTACTCGGTGACACCAAACCCTGCAGCCTGGCTGCAAACGATGTCATGAACACACCCCGTGTGTGCATGCAAAGACCAACACACCCAACCCAATCAACTCACATGTAAAAAATATCCAGAAACAGTTGCCCATAGCTGCTCCACGAAATGTTCATCTTACCACTGGACTACACAAACACAAGGCTTTGTCCAACCGGTAGACGTTTTACAACTTGTGTTAACTTGATCAACGAAATGTTAACACTAAACCAACGAAATGTTAACTTGATGAACGAAATGTTAACTTGATGAACGAAATGTTAACTTGATGAACGAAATGTTAACTTGATGAACGAAATGTTAACTTGATGAACGAAATGTTAACTTGCCCAACGAAATGATAACTTGTCCAACGAAATGTTAACTTGTCCAATAAAATGTTAACACTAAACCAACGAAATGTTAACTTGTCCAACGAAATGTTAACACTATACCAACGAAAGAGCTATATTGCAAGTAAAATGTTAAAAACTTTAACATCGAAATGTTAACTTGATCAGATAAGTTAACTTGATCAGTAAAATGTTAACTTGCTCCCTGAAATGTTAACTTGGCCAGTTAAACTGTCACCAACGAACCCCACACTTGACCAAATACCAGAACACAGAAGCACGTTTCTAGTCCCAGTGTCAACTGCGTGACGTAACATGAGTTATATCCATGGAAATATATCCACACAAAAATCCACACCTCATGTCCATGGCATACGACCTAGGCTATCAATCATCGTTCAGCAGACGATGCAAGAACTCAGATCTAAAACGAACGGGTTCACTTCTGCGTCCGCACGTTGCGCTGTAAAACTTTCGAGAATTTTGGTTTTCGATTTTTACGAATTTAAAAAAAAATTAAACGAATCGATCAATCTGAATCATTCGATTTGAACGTGTGTTGTTGATCAATGAAAAACTTGAACAGACGCTTAGAGCTAAACACTCATGCGCGTGCGTGGCAGACACGGTTGACGGAAAACACAACTCGTCTGCTAACACACTAGACGCTAGTCCGTACGCGGCAAAGCATAACAGCGGGAATAAAAAGAAATAGATTTTATTAACTGTTTCCCTTCCGATTGACGAGGCGGGATACAAACGCCAGCTTGCCGTGGGCATCTCACTCAGGCCACATAACGAAAGTACGTCAATAACTGGGGCACAGATCCACAACAGATGGGGCCAAGATTGTAAACAAATCCCGTCAATAAAGGCGGGAACGCACAGGGAGACAACCCAGTTAGAGGTAAACAAGGGAAGTGATTTATTTCATATTGTGGTGTATTGTTTACTGTACCTTTGGCTCAGGTGTATTTAAACAAATGTACTTTTAATTAGTACATTAACCATAACAAGATGCAGCAAAACTGCTAATATCGATGACGTCCCTGAGTCCACCCAGCTCTGATGGGTACTTGACTCACGTTAGGGAAACAGTGCTGACCACATTATCCCAATGAAACAGAAGAAATCTACTTCATCTGCCTCAGAAATATATAGAGAGGTAAAATCTGGGATAGGGAAGTAAAATATACGCGCTGAGGTTGGGGGGGGGGGGGGGGGGGGGGGGGTAAAAAATAGGCCCTGTGGTAGTGAAGTAAAATCTATACCCTGGAGTGGGGGGGGGGGAGGTAAAATCAAGACCCAGGCCCGTTCTGAAATGTTATACAATCCAGGATGGAAAATAAGGCTACCTAGCTATGGGCTACATTATAAAGTACTGTAGCCTTATCCTACACATTAAGAGATCTAGTATGCTACCCAGTTGTGTGCTACATGCTGAAGATAGGCTACATGGTCAAATGCTACATTAGCTGACATGTTACCTAGTGGAGCTAGCATTATGCTACACGTTTGTTGGCTACCCAACAGGGCTACCACTACTCACCTCTCATACAGGTCTGATGGCTACTCTCTGATGACGACAGCGGCTGACGTCTGCCCACAGGGGTAGCAGCATGCGGCTCCTCTATCCTCAGGGCACTAGTGTCTGACACCCAGCGCTTGTGCCCCAGCCTCCTGCTGACTGGCGGCACCGCCTCTAGCTTCAGGGTGCCATTAGAAGGGTTGGTCACGGCTGGGCCGGCACCGTGGGGGGTGTCTGCCTCTTCAGGTTTCCCAGACGCAGACATGTTCCGGTCCAGTGAACCTGCTGTACCAGGCTGCTCAGGGACGTACACCTGACCTGACGACCTGCCCGGCTTTGTGAAGGGAGAGGTCCCTGGGCTTGACATGTTGTACAGGTCCACCTCCGCCCATGGACGAGGGCTCGCTGGGTTGGATGAAGGTTTATCTAACTGCCAATCACAAAACTGATTTCCCCGGCTAGCTCTCCTGCGGGGAATCAACTGTTCGGAGACGTTGATAGCAGGGTCAGATTTGACGCTGTTAGCTCGCAGTAAGCTCGTGTCTGAGTTGATACTGAAGCTGTTAAGCTCTGAGCTAGATGTACAATGTTTGAAGGAGTCAGCCAGCCTGGACCCACCCCAAGCGCCGCTGTTCTCCAAAACTCCGCTGCCCCTACTTTTAAACACGGAGCTAAATTTAAACTTCAGGCCGCCGTCTGTCTCGTCCACCTCCGTGGAAGATTCCAGACTTGCAGAGTTTACAGAATCACATTTTGGTGCCACCCCAAATGAATTGTCGTGCATCTGGTAGGAGGAACAGGGAGAAAAATCCATTGAAAGACTTGGCTGACTTTTGACAGAAAAACAGGAATCAGTTGAACGGACGAGAAAAGATTCGGAGTTGCCGTGGTAACCACTTTCATTGAAATCTTCTGCTGTGTTTTGTTCATGTGGCAAGCCGCGACAGTGTGGATGGTGGAGGCCGTCAGAACACTGACAGCCGCAGTGACTGGATGACATGGATGAATCCATTTGATCGGATTGTTCTTCTAGTGACTGTTTTCTTACATCAGAGCTGGCAGGCTCGTCTATTCTAAGCTGAAGTATATCAACAGCAGCATCTTCACAATTATCCTTAGAGGACAGCTGCTCTGACTTATTCCTCATGGCGGTGAGGTTAATCTGATTGTTTTGCTGCACGGTGACAGACGTGTGTGTCTGATCCAGCGTGTGATCTGGATCTACCCTACTGTGGAGTCGGTGAAATGTGTTGGAGTGCTGGATGTTCCTCATGGCATCGGATAGCGGATCATGGCTCCGCAGGTTCTCCAGCAGACCGGGGGAATCCAGAGAGTTGACGAAGTACGGGCCAGACAAAATCTTCTGCTGCACCAGACTGGAAGCCCCCAGGGAGGGGTCCACGGACAGGGACAGGTTGGAGTTGCTCATCATGGACGAGTAGTGCACTGAAAGTATAGTCAGATCCTATACAGGGGGCATAACTCACAATTAAAGCAAAGATCTACACAGGGGGCATAACTCACAATTAAAGCAAAGAATTAAAATAACTATAAAATAAACTACAAAATAAGCTTTCAATTTTGAAAAACAATTAATATTTTTTTTAGACTTTACATGTATGATATTCAAGACTCATTGTGGTTAGGGAGTTTAAATCTAGTTAAACAAAAGTACTATTTTAAGCCTGATCCGGAGAATAACTGTATTAAATATATCTTCTATCTACATACTATAGATACATTTTTAATTAAGTAACTATAAAATAAACTGAGGTCAACAACCTCCAACTGCACTAGTAACCTAATCAGCATCACGTACACTACATTAATCACAGTCACGGTTAATTAAGTCTACTAAAAAAATGGCTCATACATCTACCACCCCCGCGCATCACCTAGGCTCATTAAAGACTGTCCCGTTCTCCCATTGACAAGCCACCCATTGTTCAAGAAAGTGACATTACCATTTAGATGGGAGTTACGGTTCCCCATGATGTTGTCGTGGGTTGCTTCCCTTGATGTGTATGATGACCCAGGTGGGTGTTTGGTTTTACCTTCAACAGACAACCTACGTGGGTCAGTTTGACCTGTTCTACGTGGGTCAGTTTGACCTGTTCTACGTGGATCTGACTGACCTGCACGCAGCTGGAAAGATATGAACAATGGAATCATATTAATTAAATTAGCATTGAAATATATTCTTCATATTTTGATATTCAATATAAAAATAATAATATTTACATTCGAGTTAGAACATAAAACTCTTCATTTTTGTGCCAAGTTTGTAACAGAAAAAACAAATTTTTGAAGCTTCTCCTGATTCCAACTGTACGTACTATGGCACAGTGTGATGATGTTATTCCAACTGTACGTACTATGGCACAGTGTGAGCTGTCTGATTCAACCCTCAGTCAGCTGATCCACGTACAGGTGGCAGATTTACATAAGGACTGTCACACCAGGCCTGACATGGTTTCATTATCTTTCTGGGTCATCAACGTTTGAAACATTGACTAATATGGAGCAGGTTGTGTGTGGCTTGTGTTGTGAGTGTGGGTGGGTGGGTGTATGTAGGGAGGGGGGGGGCAGCCTGTGCTATTGCAGTGGTTCTAAGTTAGGAGGTGCTATAGAGGTTTTCCCTGAACTTTAGAGCTACAGCAGTGGTCCTCAAACTTAGGGCTACAACAATGGTCCTCAAATTTAGGGCTACAACAGTGGTACTCAAATTTAGGGCTACAACAGTGGTCCTCAAACTTAGGGCTACAACAGTTGTCAAGGGCTACAACAGTGGTCCTCAAACTTAGGGCTACAACAGTGGTCCTCAAACTTAGGGCTACAACAGTGGTCCTCAAACTTAGGGCTACAACAGTAGTACTCAAACTTAGGGCTACAACAGTTGTCAAGGGCTACAACAGTGGTCCTCAAACTTAGGGCTACAACAGTGGTCCTCAAACTTAGGGCTACAACAGTGGTACTCAAACTTAGGGCTACAACAGTGGTACTCAAACTTAGGGCTACAACAGTTGTCAAAGGCTACAACAATGGTCCTCAAATTTAGGGCTACAACAGTGGTACTCAAACTTAGGGCTACAACAGTGGTACTCAAACTTAGGGCTACAACAGTGGTACTCAAACTTAGGGCTACAACAGGGGTACTCAAACTTAGGGCTACAACAGTGGTACTCAAACAGTGAACATCCAACTGTGACAAGAGTGGTGAACAAAGCAACACAAGCCATACAAGCAGTAAACCTCGAGTAATTCATTCATAACTTTATGTATCCCTCAACTGTCTGCATTACTAGCACCAGAGTTTTAAGCTGCACCAAAATCCCTGGTGCAAAAACCTCACCACCCTCTGGCTCTAACCACCAGCCTATCCACACAACACCACCATCTGGCTCTAACCACAAGCCTATTCACAAAACACCACCACCCTCTGGCTCTAACCACCAGCCTATCCACACAACACCACCCTCTGGCTCTAACCACCAGCCTATCCACACAACACCACCCTCTGGCTCTAACCACCAGCCTATCCACACAACACCACCACCATCCTGGCCCTAACCACAAGCCTATCCACACAACACCACCACCCTCCTGGCCCTAACCACAAGCCTATCCACACAACACCACCACCCTCCTGGCTCTAACCACAAGCCTATCCACACAACACCACCACCATCCTGGCCCTAACCACAAGCCTATCCACACAACACCACCACCCTCCTGGCTCTAACCACCAGCCTATCCACACAACACCACCCTCTGGCTCTAACCACAAGCCTATCCACACAACACCACCCTCTGGCTCTAACCACAAGCCTATCCACACAACACCACCACCATCCTGGCCCTAACCACAAGCCTATCCACACAACACCACCACCCTCCTGGCTCTAACCACAAGCCTATCCACACAACACCACCACCATCCTGGCCCTAACCACAAGCCTATCCACACAACACCACCACCCTCCTGGCTCTAACCACAATCCTCTCCACACAACACCACCAACCTCTGGCTCTAACCACAAGCCTATCCACACAACACCACCACCCCCTGGCTCTAACCACAAGCCTATCCACACAACACCACCACCAACCTGGATCAAGAAACCAACAAAGTTTGGGCTAAAAAAAACAAGAAAAAGTCATCAAACAAGAACTGACCAAATGAGGGTTGATATCCACAAGTAAGGCAGGCTTGTTGAGCTCTATGGCCCGAAAACAAATCTTCATAGCCTTAACATAGTCAGGCTGACAAAGGAAGGCATCATCTGCAACAAAATAACATAAGCTTTACCTTATGAATACCTACATAATATTTTGATAAGGCATCATATACAATAAATAGAAACATACATTTTAACCATATGAACACCTACATAATATTTTGTAATTTGATTTTCAAATGTTAATTACATAGAACACTTTTTCTACAAGTAAAATTGAACACTTTTTCTACAAGTAAAATTGAACACTTTTTCTACAAGTAAAATTGAACACTTTTTCTACAAGTAAAATTGAACACTTTTTCTACAAGTAAAATTGAACACTTTTTCTACAAGTAAAATTGAACACTTTTTCTACAAGTAAAATCTTTATACACTCCACCAGAATAAACCAGAAAGGCTTACGTACACTGAGAAATTGTTTCAACCCCGTTACAATCACATGTTACGTCCTATCCAACATTTCACGTATGCACATCAACAAGCCAAAGCTAAATGAACTTGGCACCATCACACATCAAACATTTGATCGACTTGTGAAAATATTCCTACCAGTCGAGTGGCTAGTGAGCTTTAAACTGATCCCGTCAATTACTCACACTCCCAGGGTCAATACCCTGCCTGCGCCAGGTGTGCTGCGTGACAGGTGCTCAAATTCTCCGTCATCCAATAGCTAGCCAAGGCCAGACCTCAAAGTGCCTCAGTCAAGCACAGCATCAAAATATCATACTCAAGCACTGCATCAAAATATCATACTAAAGTGCCTCAGTCAAGCACTGCATCAAAATATCATACTAAAGTACCTCAGTCAAGCACTGCATCAAAATATCATACTAAAGTACCTCAGTCAAGCACTGCATCAATATATCATACTAAAGCGTGTGGTATAGATGAAGTGTGTAGCGGCTCTAAAACCTGGACAGTGATCCCTATGACAAGTTTCTTTAATACAGCTGTTCTACATTAGTTATACAACCAACAACAACAAGGTGCGTGCAGGTCTATTTATAGCCACGGGTCAAAACAATGACTAAGAAAGGAAAATTGTTTAACAACAGGTTTAATGCTGAACATACTGGCAGATGCTGTCTTTGTCATCTAACTCATCTCACCTGCGCATCATCTGCACTATTCTGATGGGTTCTATTTTAAGATCTGGTGGGAATAACACCTTTTTGTTTTTAAAAAAAAAAAGTTTAACACATTTTTTTAGCTTACATTCATTACATGCTGTACTAAACTAATACAAATTTGGAAACTTTCTTTTTGAATATTTTTTGCTTATGTAATTTATTATTTTAAAAGACCAACCGAACTGGACCTTTGTAGTCAACCATCTAAGAGTGCTGTTACTGAAGGTAATTAACAACTGTCATGAAAAAATTTAAAATTTCTACCCATTAGATGACCAGCTGATGGCCAGATAAAAGTTTCTGGACACTTGCCAAAATCAATAGCTCAACAGAATAAATACTTGAGAGGATTACTGCAGTAGAGAAGGGGGAGCTGTGAACACTAGGAGGGGAACATCTGGTACAGTAGTTAAGCTGTGTTCATCAATATCGACATCCATTACATACATCTATTACACACATCCATTACATCCACTACACACACACATTACATACATCCATTTCATCCACTACACACACACATTACATACATCCATTACATCCAGTACACACATCTATTACACACATCCATTACATCCACTACACACACACATTACATACATCCATTACATCCACTACACACACACATTACATACATCCATTACATCCACTACAAACATCTATTACATACATCCGTTACATCCAGTACACACATCTATTACATACATCCGTTACATCCAGTACACACATCTATTACATACATCTGTTACATCCAGTACACACATCTATTACATACATCCATTACATCCAGTACACACATCTATTACATACATCCGTTACATCCAGTACACACATCTATTACATCCACTATATAGATACATTCCATACATCTATGAGACAAATCCTTTTTGTAAATCCATTACAAATATCCAACCTAACTCATACACAGTAAACCAACTTACACCATACACAGTAAACCAACCTACCCCATACACAGTAAAACAACCTACCCCATACACAGTGAACCTACCTACCCCATACACAGTAAACCAACCTACCCCATACACAGTAAAACAACCTACCCCATACACAGTGAACCTACCTACCCCATACACAATAAACCAACCTACCCCATACACAGTGAACCAACCTACCCCATACACAGTGAACCTACCTACCCCATACACAATAAACCAACCTACCCAATACAAAGTGAACCAACCTACCCCATTCACAATATACCAACCTTCCCCATACAACAATCAGGGCCTCTACCACACTTATCAACCTACCATGATACCAGGCATGCAGGTGACCTCTGTCAGCAATCAGGGCCTCCAGCTGCACCATCAGGGTGTGGTCGTGGACTAACTCCCTCAACCACCACACACACCACACTTATCAACCTACCATGATACCAGGTCATCAGGGTGTGGTAATGGACTAACTCCCTCAACCACCACACACACCACACTTATCAACCTACCATGATACCAGGTCATCAGGGTGTGGTCATGGACTAACTCCCTCAACCACCACACACACCACACTTATCAACCTACCATGATACCAGGTCATCAGGGTGTGGTCATGGACTAACTCACTCAACCACCACACACACCACACTTATCAACCTACCATGATACCAGGTCATCAGGGTGTGGCCATGGACTAACTCACTCAACCACCACACACACCACACTTATCAACCTACCATGATACCAAGTCATCAGGGTGTGGTCATGGACTAACTCCCTCAACCACCACACACATCACACTTATCAACCTACCATGATACCAGGCATGCAGGTGACCCTCTAGCTGCACCATCAGGGTGTGGCCATGGACTAACTCACTCAACCACCACACACACCACACTTATCAACCTACCATGATACCAGGTCATCAGGGTGTGGTCATGGACTAACTCACTCAACCACCACACACACCACACTTATCAACCTACCATGATACCAGGTCATCAGGGTGTGGTCGTGGACTAACTCCCTCAACCACCACACACACTACACTTATCAACCTACCATGATACCAGGTCATCAGGGTGTGGTCATGGACTAACTCCCTCAACCACCACACACACCACACTTATCAACCTACCATGATACCAGGTCATCAGGGTGTGGCCATGGACTAACTCCCTCAACCACCACACACACCACACTTATCAACCTACCATGATACCAGGTCATCAGGGTGTGGTCGTGGACCAACTCACTCAACCACCACACACACCACACTTATCAACCTACCATGATACCAGGTCATCAGGGTGTGGTCGTGGACCAACTCACTCAACCACCACACACACCACACTTATCAACCTACCATGATACCAGGCATGCAGATGACCTCTGTCAGCAATCAGGGCCTCCAGCTGCACCATCAGGGTGTGGTCGTGCACAGATTCACTCAACCATGTAGCTGCTGAGTCCTGGCCACTGAACTTCTCCTGGATGGCACCTAATGTAGGTGCACTACTAAGTGCACTGCTAGGTGCAGTGTTAGGTGCAGTGTTAGCAAACTGCCAGAAGCTACTCGTGGGCTTAGATTTTCCCTGCAAGGATGTGACACATGATTCAACTAATGTACACAGGATTCAACTCATATATGGCAACATTTATTTTCTAAACTTAAGTCATTGAAAATACAAAAGGTAAGTTTTCACATGCCTGTATAAATTTTTAAAAAACTCTATTAATTAAGATTTATTTATGTGCTCAGTAACAAACACATCAGAATATTTTATTCAGGGTAAAGTTAAAGGCTAATATTCTGTAATTCCACTTGGTGATGTAGATTTTACATTTACGTTTCAGTGTTAAATTAGTTTTTTGTTTATTCAAGGCCTAAGCCTAACAGAATGGCTAATATTTTAAAAACTACTTGACAGTTATAAAGGAAAACAAGACAAAAACGGAGATTCTCACATGTGCAGCTTTAATTCTATGACACAAAATGGCCTCAGTGTCCACACAAACACGCCGTAGGGCTCCATACGTCCCCCATGGCCCTTGTGCCGACTGACCAACTAGTAGACTTTCTGTTGTTTTCTTTAACTTCATCAGCAGATCATGACAGTGTCTGAAAATTGAACATTAAGACATTAAATGAACATTACAATCAAGACATTAAATGAACATTACAATCATGACATTAAATGAACATTACAATCATGACATTAAATGAACATTACAATCATGACATTAAATGAACATTAAAATCATGACATTAAATGAACATTACAATCATGACATTAAATGAACATTACATTCATGACATTAAATGAACATTACAATCATGACATTAAATGAACATTACAATCATGACATTAAATAAACATTACAATCATGACATTAAATGAACATTACAATCATGACATTAAATGAACATTACAATCATGACATTAAATAAACATTACAATCATGACATTAAATGAACATTACAATCATCACATTAAATGAACATTACAATCATCACATTAAATGAACATTACAATCATGACATTTTCAACAACTTCAATTTTCATTATTTAAGCACTATTTCTTTGAATAATTTTTTTCAGTGCTAAAGTGAAAAGTTTGCAAAAAAATGGGGAAAAGCTGTATTGAGCTTTATAGAGGTTACGTCTACAAAAATGCTTTTCTTAATTAATTAAAATCATGCAACTTTTTCTGGCATAGAAAGGCAGATAATCCATTTATTTAGAATCTTGCATTCAAATTATAAAGCTATTTAGTTCATTTAGTGAGACTAATAATAGAGTTTTAATTAATCACATTTGGAAGTGCTTATAAAATCTTGGAAGAGAAAATAAACAGCATGCTTATTTCCTCTCAACAGTGATCAACATTTAGCTTCTATTAATAGGCATAGGCCCCTACATATTGTTAGAATTTTAGAAAGGATGTTTGTTTTATTTCATATAGTATAGGCCTAATGTAATAATTTTTTGAGGTTTGTTTCATAAGTATGGCAGCTATTAAGATGGCTTTGTGGTCAGAATGATTAAGACAATGGTAGTTTGTTTTTCATTTATAGTAAATTTGGCATTAATAATATAATTTTTAACACATTATATCTTAGTTATGGTTAGGGGTTGTTAGTGCTTGGTGTTAAGGTTATTGTAAATCTAAGAAAAGTGTTTAATAAATTTAAATTAAAGCAAATATTAAGAATTCTATGATTCAATGATTACTGAAATAAGCATCTTTTGTAACATCTATGTGTTATGTAGGGGTTTCTTTATTAATTTTTTTTTAATAATTTTGTATTGATAGAAGAAATATGCAACATGCCTATATCCTCTCAACTGTAAGAGGATAAAAGCTCAATGGGATTTTTGTCTTGACAGGATATGAGAGGATATAAGCACCTTACGTATTGCCTCTATATTTTTGGCCACAATAAGCCCTGCTATCAAAGTTAAGGCTCTGTACTGCCCTAGAGCACTTCTTTTTCATTTTTTTTATTTTTTGGGTAGTCTGGCTAATGCCGCTATTAAAAAAACAGTATAGGGCTTGGGCTAACCTCATAATTTTGGGATGATTGAGGATACCGATGTCAGATAATATCAAAATAGACTTCTGAAAACAACTGTATTAGCATAGTATCAGTGGCGTAGCCGGGATCATCTCATGGGGGGGAGTTGAAATTTTTTCCAACATTATATATATATATATATATATATATATATATATATATATATATATCAATTTTAGGAATTAGAACTACCCATTCCTACTTAAGTCTGTTAATTAGGAATTCTCAGGTGAAATTTTGGCCTCATTTCTTTATCTTGCAAGTGGCGCTTTAGTGAAACCATCTCTCTGTATTCTTGTTGTGTTAAAATCGAATAACTCCAACATGATGTCATTTTAAACCAGCATTTGTGAATAACATGCTTGAAAGCCAAATTTTATACACCTGACAATCAGCTGGTATTTATATTATGGGTTTATGTGATGTGTCATGTGAAAAAATCCACCACTCAATATTATTATGTCATTATATTTTATAATCATCTTGCTAAAAACAAAACGCGGGAAAATGTATGTCACACCAAAATCCTACCATATAAGGCTAGATTTATTATTATTTTTTATATAATGTTGCATCATTCTTAAAAATAGAATGCATTATGCTTTCCTTATTGAATTAACTTATTGATGATTTTTTTATTACTTTTTGAACTAAAAGTATTGAGTTCTTAGGTAGATCATTGTTGATTATTGTTTTTATTATTTTTTAAACTGAAAGTATTGATTTATTAGTTAGATCATTAGTTTTTGTACCTTGGTATACTTACCCTCTGTCAATATTTAAAAAAAACAAGGCATGCTTATTGTGTTAAAATATTGTCATAAAACACAAAAATATTTAGTTCTAATTGTGATTTGCCACACCCCCTAAAGAAAGCATATGTTTAATAAACTGCTCATCACACTTTACAACCTTAATTTAAATTAATTTTTTTATTTTATTACATCTTTGGGTAAGAGTTGGAACGTTTTTATTTCAAATTGAAAGCAAACAAGAGTAAACTAAATTATTTATGGAGGTCACATGCCAAGACCAAGTAATTCTAATTGTTATTTCGTTTTTTTCAAAAGTGATGAAGGATCTTAGTTTACTATTAAAAAGTGGATTATTGATACTTTTTTGATAGGCCTAAATTTTAATTTTAAAAATTGGCAGATTCTAGCCCGAAAAAGATGCGCATACCTCTACAATTATCTGGTTTTTCTTGTCATCTACATGTTCACTGTATATGTTTTGTCTTAATGGGACAGGGATTAGCACAATACTTACATAGCAGATTTAAATAGGTTGTTAAAATAGAATTTTTTAAAATATTTTTAATTTATAGCCTACTTAACTTATAGACTAGAACTCTTTGCTAGCTATAGGGCTACTTAGTATAGCCTACTATATACAATGAACCCTCAACCCCCGACGACCCACCCGCAGCGCAACTGCTTGACCACACAGTAGTGATGGTACAGATAGTTTTGTAAGAAGAATAGGCAAAATCACGATATAGCGTCGGTTATTATTCCAGAATTGTACGGCAGTAAAAAACAGTAAGACCATGGCGTAGTTTGTCGAGCCATTCCGGAAACCACCGAAAATACTTTAAACCATCATTTATTTGACGCCATATTATTCTTAATACATAATGTTTAAAAATGTACATGGATTGATTTTAGTTGCATTTTAAATACTGTTTTGCTTATTATTTTGTATTTCTAATTATTTTAAGTGTATGTTCTAATTATTGCTGCTACTTAACATTGTTCTAGTTCTTCTTACTACTTTCAACTTAAGTAAATCTAAACGTCTTATTTTACTAGATCTAGATCTAGCTGTCGCAAATCTCCTGCAAGTTTTTTTCTGTGTTTCTTAAAAAAAAACATTAATTACTACACTCGACTTTATTGATAATATTTAGATTTACTAATTGTTTGCTAATTTTCTGTCAATTAAGCTTTAAATTAAGTTTAAACATTAATTTAATGCTCTTGACTTTATTTTTATTTCAACGGTCAAATAAACTATGTTTTACAGTAACAAATGTTACCAAAACTCACCAAACATTACCAGACAATTTCCGACTCTATATCATGAGATTACCGAAGAATAAAGCTAAAAGAGTAATTGATCCCATTGTCTTGTGCAGTTATGCTGCTATAAGAATAAATTGAGTCCATTACGCAGTATTTAATTTTAGCCCATTGCGCAGATATTTAGGTCATTGTGTTTTGCATCTTTTGCTGGCCAGATAGCGCTTGGAGGGGAAAAACTTTTTCAGGGTTGACTTTGAAAAATTTTCATCAAAATGCCTAGTCACACTGGTATAAAAGAAAGGTAATCTATCGTTTTAGGTACGTAAAATCGCCCGCGGCTAGTAATGTACGAAAAAGTCACCTCATTGTCAAGGCTTTAATAGAAGTTTATTGTGATATCTTTGTGTCAAATATTATAGATAAATGAATAATAAACCTAAATCAATGGCTAAATATATCAATGTAGGCAAGAAATTAACTTTAAACAGCAGTGTTAGCAAGGAGGATTTGCTATATAAAAAGCGGCTATCTGCTATAAGTATAAGCTTACAATTTAAAAAATAAACAAGATAGCTGCTATAGTAAATGTCAGTAAATGAGCATGGTTGCATCTGTTGGAAATATCGCTAGTCTACAGTCTACATTTATTACCAAAAAGTTTTAATTCAATTGTTTAAAAATAGGTACATAAATGAAACAAGATAACATTTTTGATTTGTAATTTTAAAAACATAAATCCTCCTCAAAATGTGAAATAATTATTAAAATTTAAAGAGTCACCTGTTTTTCACATTACTAGTCGCGGGCGATTATACGTACCTAAAACGATAGATGACCAAAAGAAATTCGCCTAGAAATTTCCTTTTTTTTAAATTTAGGTTATGGGGCGCTAGAGGTAGAACTGAATTGATCTAGCCTAGATTTTAGAATCTAGTCTACAGTAGTACAGTAACTTAACATTTTTTTTCAGTGAAAAGTGAAAACTAAAAAAAACATCTTTTTTTCTAAAAACAATTCTGATTTAATTCGCGTAGGATTTCGTTTTTAAAAAAATCGATGTTACATTAATGGCATGATGTTGACATTATTAACTATACATTGTATTCTCTGCTTTGGCCTATCAATACAAGAAATTATTAATTTGTAAACATTCAGACACACCTCTCCTGATTTTCTGCTGATGCATCCGCCATTTTTGTTATTGTTTATTTTACGTGATATAAAAGATTCGCATAATCAAGGAAGAAAATTATAATTTCTTTCAAGATCTACTTTTTTTAAAATTCTGCATTATATTTAAAATATTTTTTAAATCAGTATTAGATACAAGTGTTTGGTGTTTATTAAATCACACGCTTACATTTCTATCAGTTAAACATATCAACTAATAGGGACCGGGATGTTTAAACTTTAAAAGGTCCTGAACTAACAGTCGGAAAAAAGCAAAGGTGTAGATCTAGTGGTATAGTGTAGTGCAGTCGTATTTTACCTGAGTAGGCCTATGTCCTATGAATGTATGGTGGTTTACTGGTTCAGTTGTAGTAAGGTTTTTTGTTGTTTTTTTAAACGGTTTTAATTAATTTAGAAAATATATAGTATTGTTTAACCAGTACTATGCCCCCCCCCCCCCACACACACACAACGAAAGTTAAAAGTCCACCCCCCCCCCCCCCAACCAGGAGAAAGAAACCCGGGTGCGGGAAGGGAGGTATGTCCACATAAATGATATAGGTCTATATCACACAACCAAGAGAACTAAGGGGGGAAGCATAGTTTAAGTAAATATTCAGCAAAGTGAAATCCGATGTTTATTTTTTTTTAGTTTAAAATATGCAAATTTTAAACACGAATATTTTAGGCTGCTAAATTTGTATCGTTATCTTTAGACGTCTGAGTGCATATAGTCATTATAAAACAGTATGAGAGGCCTAGAGATTTTGTGAAACTGTCGAGTGTGTGGGGGTTGGGGTGGGGAGGGGTGAACTGTTCGGAAATCGACAGTTACCGTAGAGCCCAGATAACGCGTATCCTGTGGCCCGCCTTAGGTGGTCTAGGTGTAACTACAGGTATGCAGGATTTATTGTGGGTGGGTTGTATTATAACTACCCGTGTACTACATATATTGTATGTGGTAGCAGGGGCGTAGCGAGGCGGGGGTGCGGACCATTTAGGGGGGGGGGTGACACCAAGGCAGAAAATAGCAAAATATATACAGAAAAATGAAAATTCCACTTAATTAAGTGATTAATTAGAGTGTTAGTCTTTTAAGAGCAAATTTGACAAACCCGATAAGGGTCGGGGAGGGGGGGGGGGCGACACCAAGACGTAAACCTGCAAATGATAGAGAAAACATGCTACATGCTAACCCTAACCCTCGCTACGCCACTGTGTGGTAGTATAACTATCTGTGCACAGAAGCTATTGTGACTGCTTAGTAGCTTACTATAACTACTTGTGTACAGAAACTATTGTACATGGTAATATAACTACCTGTATACAGAATCTATTGTGACTGCTTGGTAATTACTAAAACTACCTGTGTACAGAAACTAGTGTATTTGGTAGTATACCTGTGTACAGAATTTATTGTGACTGGTAAAATAACTACTTCTATACATAATCTATTGTACGTGGTACTATGAATACCTGTGTACAGATTCTATTTATGTGGTACAATAGCTAACTGTGTACATGATCTATTGACTATTGTATGTGGTACTATAACTACCAAAGTACATAATCTATTGTAGGTGGTACTATAACTACCAAAGTACATAATCCATTGTAGGTGGAACTATAACTAGTTACAGAATCTATCCTATTATGTAAGGTACAATAACTACCTGTGTATATAATCTTGTGTGTGATAGACTACTATAACATGCATGATTTATTGTTTGTTTTGTAGCCATGGCAACCTAGATGTCACGAGGAACAAGACAGCCACCATTAATATACACGCCTTAACCCAATTAGAATCGCCCAGTCGATTTATTAAGGTTTAATGTATAAAACATCTGCCATGTGTTCATTAGGCATTCAAACACTTATTGTATGGCAAAACTTAAGCCTTCGTCTTAAAAAGGGGCAGATTACTCTACCCTACACACTTCGTATCCTTCGACAATTATTTTTGCTTACCTCACACAATTATTCCATGCCTACCCCTTACCCCCACCCCCACCCCCAATACCTACTGAAAAATTAGCGACCCCTCTGCAAACAGGTTTACCGGCTTCTTAGGCTATTGTTTGCTGAAGTGACCTAGTTTGTTTGTTGTTTCTATGTGTCTATGTCGTTAAGCATATCGTGTTCAATACTTATACATTCTCAAGTGGGCGCCTAATGTTCTGCGTCATTAAAATAGCCAATTTTTTTTTCTTGGGCACGTAGCATTTAAAGCTTTAATTAAAGAAAATACTACTTCTTGGAAATGTCAGCAACTTACTAGACATAGTCTGTCTTAATTCAGGAAGTATAAGCCTATCTGACATATGTTGTACAAGTTTTAATTAAGTTTGTGTTGTGTTATCTCCCCGTTGGTTGTGCCCCTTTTGTTTATGTGTGTGTTTAACAATGTTCGGACACTAAGGGCCTACCCGAAAAAAGGTTTTATCCTTTTTAAAATAAGCACGGTTTTAAACTTTTAATAGTGTGGTGTCACCAGTGTCTCTTATAGGCATCTCCCCGGGTGGAGGAACTACCCCGCCCCCCGAACTCCACCACCCCCCCCCCGCCCCCAGAACTCCACCGCTCCCCCCCCCCGCCCCCAGAACTCCACCACTCCACCACCCCTTCCCCCGGACGATTTTTTTTTTAAAATAATTGATACAGAACATATGTAGGCCCTTCTTTAACCAGTGTCCTCTACCCCCCCACCCCCTTTCGCGGAAGTTTCAAGAGCACCCCCCTGGAAAAAAATGCCTGAAAGAAGCCCTAGGCAGAGGCGTAGCGACCCTTCCCGGCGCCCGGGGACATACTTTCAATTTGGCGCCCCCCTCGGGAGCAAATTTTCGATTTGCACCCCCCTCGAACTTTTCATTTGCACCCCCCCCCCTCAAACTTTCGATTTGCACCCCCCCCCTCGAACTTTTCATTTGCACCCCCCCCCCTCAAACTTTCAATTTGGCGCCCCCCCCCTAAGGTCGGCGCCCGGGGACATATGTCCCCCCCCCGCCCCCCCCCCCCCCCCCCCCTCGCTACGCCTCTGGCCCTAGGTGACACCACCCGCCCCCCTTCAGAAAATATCTTGACTCCACTGTCAGCACTTTGGCTGTGATTTTTCTATTTCTATTTCTATTTTTATTTCATTTTTTTAATTTATTTTTTTGTTATTAAAATGTGTTGTTGTTTTAGCAATAAGAAAACCTCCTCAGACAGTGGCCAATACTACATAGGCCGAATGACCGGAAAATTCCGTGCGTCTTGTTAAAATACGGCAGCTTACGTAAAGACTAGAAGCATCTGTTTGTGTGTCGGGCGGGGGCAGTGGCGGAACTAGAAAAAAAGGGCCACCCCGCAAAAAAATAATTTCGGCCCCGTTATATATATATATATATATTTATATATATATATATATATATATATATATATATATATATATATATATATATATATATATATATATATATATATATATATATATATATATATATATATATATATATATATATATATATATATATATATGTATGTATATATATATATATATATATATATATATATATATATATATATATATATATATATAAACAAAATACGAAAATATGAACATAGAATACTCAATACGGACTTGTTTAAAATTTGAAACAATTAAAATTCTTAGTTTTTATTTTTAATTAAAGCACGTTATAACAACACATCATTTGTGTGAGTGCTTTTTGTGTGAGTGCTATTTGTGTGAGTGCTATTAGTCTATTTTGAAATTCTCTGTTTTAATGTCTGACATAATCCTTCCCAAATTACAAGTCGGTCAAAAGAATATGAAGCATGAAAGCTGTGTATGCGTAATGGTCTCTCGCCTTATGTTAATCTTTATGTTGTTTTTTTTTATTTATATTATTACTTTTTAATAAATTTCCTTCTTATACTATGTCATCCTTTATTATGTTTTTTTAAATTATAATTAAGAGAAGTAATTGCTTTTTAATTTGTTTAGTGCAAATCTATTAAAAGTTTCTAAAGAGCACACGTATTTGACTATTTAAAAAAGGGAAATAAGTCAAGGAAGTGGTTTGAATGTTTGTCTATCTTTCACACTACAACTCATGTAGCCTATACTTTTTTTTTCCTTTACAAAACTGCGTGTGTTACCTAGAAACTGTAGAACATCAATACTGTAATAGGTCTGTTGGGTTTTTTTACAAGAAAATTATTTTTTTAACTATAAAAAAAATTGATTTTGGTCGGCTGTGGGCCCCTAAACGGCCTGGGCCCCCCTGCATTGCGGGGTCTGGCGGCACTGTAGTTCCGCCCCTGGGCGGGGGTCGAGGGGGAGGGCAACTAATCAAAGGTCATTAAAACTGACATTAGTCCCACACCAAATGTGTGTTTCCAGTCTGTCCCCACGTATAGGCAAGTGTGAGATCAGTCTAAACTAGTCTCAAGTTAAAGCAATGTCCCTTGACGTGGCATAAGACTAATGCGGGGGTGGAGGGTGGGTGTAGGGAGTGGGGGGGGGGGGGGGGGGGAAGGCACGTTGTCAGTGTGGCAGTAAAACACATTGTTCCTGGTAGAGGAGTGTTTGGCCAAAGCTCATGGGTCAGAGGTCAATTAGTCTACGTCATGATGTCACTTTGTCTGTCTCATTGATGACATCTGACGCGGTGACACGTTGACATCTGTATGGTACTATCTGATGTCATCTACACCACACTTTGACATATTATACTATATATATGTAACGAGTCCCCGAGTCTATCCTGCCGACAACGCCAAATGTAACGAGTCTTATCCTGCTCGCAGAGCCAAATGTGACCTTCCCGAGTCTAACCACTCATTCCACACAACATTGACCACAGCATAGATACTCGAAGATGCAGGTTCATTATTGATCCTTTTATTACATGAATCAAAGAATGTTTCACAATAATATATTGAATCAAGAGAGATGTTTCACAATAATAGTCTGAATCAACGGACCCCCAACAGTCCTCACTAGGCTTCATCTAACTGAATACACATGTCTAACGTC